ATCAAATTGCAGAGAGCGAACAAAATATATATCATTTTGTAAATTGTGCAAATCTTGTGTCAGGAAGGTTTCAGTGTATTAGTTTAAGTACCATACATGTACATTTGTACAATTATCTCTTCCATAATTTTAATTATGAAGTGCATGATTGAACATGAAGTTGTTAAAAATAAATTTGTAACAGTTGGTAATTTTCATGTAAAAGAGTGTTGTTTCTCTACACACACCTCTTTCTCTGAATAGAGTGTCTTGGCTACAATATCCAATAACTGTCTGGTTTCTGCTTGAAAGTCATGCCTTTGGGTTTCACCTAGACATGAAAACATACAATTTTTTTTTTCATTAAATTTAATTTAGTAGTTCCATATGCTAAAAACTTTCCACAAAACTGAATATGTGCCTGCTCTGAGCAGAACCGGTTTTTGTTTTGATTCTGTTTGATCAAGCAATTAACAACTAAACATTTTAGCCTCTGCTACAAAACTTATGAAAGAAAAACTGGCTTACAAGCAATAAAACCCAATTGTCATTCTTAAACTAATAAGTTTATTTAGTTATTTACTTAATCAATATTTAAACATGAACATCACATTTAGCAAAGCTAGTTTAAAGAGAGCCCTGCAAAAACAAAATTTGACAATACAAAGTTACGCATAAAATTGACAGACAAAAGTAAAACTCATTAGAGAAAATACATACAAAGTCTACATAACTAATTAAATCTGTTTAAAAAACCGCTTACACTCAGTTTTAAAAGTTTTAAGGCTTTCCAGCAATCTTATTGCTTTGGGCAGATTATTAAAAGTGCACCCACCATTATATCTAAAACTGCCTTGATATTTAGTGCTTTTGGCCAAAGGAAGACGAATCAAATCCCAGTGCCTGATATTATATTTCTTAGCTTGAGTAAAATCACTCAATAGGTAGGAAGGTGCTAAGCCGTTCATAGATTTGACAACCAGCATGCATTTAAGATAGTCTCTATGAGACTGAAGGCTAGGCCAACCAAGAATACAAACAATATCTGTTTCACTCACAGCCCTATTTAAGATAATACTAGCCGTACGCCCATTAAGCTTATCAAGATACCCTTTAGATATAGCCCCACAACTATCCCATACAACTGAGCAATAGTCAAAAAGGGGGAGTATCATTGTGTTGTACAAAATGATACAGGATGACTGAGGCAAGATCTTTCGTGCTCTACGTAACATTCCTAATATAGACGAAAGTAAAGAAGCGTATCATCAACATATTGCTCAACATTAGAATATCTAACAACATGGGATATGTCATTAATATACATTATAAAGAGAAGGGGCCCTAAAGCCCCAAAGTCCTGGAGGATTCCAAAATCAACTTTTTGAGGATCTGAAACTATCCCATTAACACAAACACTTTGAGAACAATTGGTTAAGTACGAGAAAAACCATTGTCTGGCAGACGTAGAAAAACCAAAGGACTGCACTAATTTATCTAAAAGAAGGTAGTGGTTGAGTGTCAAAAGCCTTGCTAAGATCTAAAAATACTAGTCCAGTCAACAATCCTTTTTCGATATTCTGTAAAAGGGTGTTAGTTACATGGGTCAAGCAGGTTGAAGTGCTGTGGAGAGGGCAAAAGCCAGACTGTGAAGGAGACAGCAAGTTGTTGAGCTGTAGATGGTCATAAACCATTTTGTGTATCCCTCTTTCAAGGATCTTGGAGAATACAGGCAGAACAGATATGGGTCTATAGTTAGACAGATCACTTTTACTTCCAGCCTTATGTATGGGTGTTACAAGGGTGTGCTTCCATTCATCTGATACATAGCCTTCACGTAAAGATCTGTTCATAAGCAAGGTAAGGGGCTCAGATATTGCATCTGAACCATCCTTTTGAAGTCATGCTGGTAATCCTGGGATGCCTGTTGATTTTTTCACTTTTAGAGACTTTAATAATTAAAAAAAACCAATTATTGCTTTTTAACAAACTCTGGTTCCTTCTGAGAGAGCTTGAACGATGGTGGCAAACTTGTTTGAACTGGGATGTTTTGGGATATTTTAAAGTGATTTCATATCTTCAGCCATTTATGGATGGAACAGGTTTTCAAAAAAAGTTTCTCAAATATCACTCTTCATGTTAAATTAATCAGTTCTATAAATAATACTGGACATATGTACAATACCCAGCCAATGTACCAATGACAGAATTTAAAACTGAGTCAAATTTAACTTGAGTTGATTTGTAGGTTGAGATCCAGATCAGCCTATTGGTTCATGTGGGTAACTCAAAATAAAAGTAAGAGCATGCTGAATTTTATTAGCAAGGATCAAGAAATACCACATATATCAACAAGGACCACTGAAATGCAACATTTACATGCTTAGTTTTATTTTCTCTAAAACGAGTCAGATAACAAATCAATACTAAACTATGTCTTCTTATATGGAAGCACCCATACATGTATATTCTTCCAGGCTTGTAACTATTTTTGCATGCTGAGAACCATCTAGTACATAACATGAACATTTCTTGGTCTATGACACTACAAGTAATATATATAATGCATCTGTTTTACAAAGAATTTAACCAAACAATTCAGTTATCTCTGTGAATAAATTATTACTCCTAAATTTTTACTATCCATTATTTATGATATAGTTTCAACTTACCAATAATTCTTTCATTTTCCCTTATAACATGAACAGTATCACCTTCTTCAAAATCTTCTTCCTTAGATTAAAAAAATATGATTTTGTAATGATGATTCATAATTCAGTTCACAATCTATAATACAAAACCTGAATTAAATAATAGTGTTATATAATACCATGAAAAATGCTAAACCATACATTGATATTGTTTTTTAGCACCTTTGAAAAATTATCTTTATCAGTAGGATTTTCTGAAAAAGCTCTGCAGGAAATCTTTGGGTAGAGCCTCACATGGGGACCTCTAAACCCTAGAAAGACAATAAAAATAACAAACACTGAACAATAACAAATTTCCCTTTTCTTAAGGTTCCCTTATGCGAAAAACACTGGGTACATGGAATTATCCTTACAACAGACACTAAATGGTTGCCTGTGTAGATATAGTGTATAAAATTATTCTTCATCATGAAGAGGGCTAAGACAACATGAATGACTTCATATTTACTTGAAGTTTCACTTCCTCTGACTTTTTTTAAAGATATTGTCCGACTCAAAGTGGAATTCTCAGACTTTTCCCTGATTTTGAAGAATTTTATTTTTCCCTGACTTTTTCCTGACCTGTGGTAATTATGGTGATGCTTCTGTCAACAAAGGCAAGTAATTGAAAGTGGCATAACTGTGTTCAAGTTAAAAAATACATACAGTGTTCTACTGTCTTTTGAGCAAATTTGTTCAGGGAATGAAAGTGACACAAATGTTTTTTTGGGAAAGTTTTTCTTGTGTGTGAGGTTGATTGTATACATTTTTTAATAGTGTATATGTTAGCTGCAGAAATTTTCTTTAGTATCCAAGACATAAAAATATTAGCATGAGATCATATTGGAACAATTATATGTGTACTAACATGGCTACTTCCCTAAACAAAAAAAAAAGTAGTGGGACCAGAAGAAAAAACAAACACTTTTGACACACCATTGCAGGAAATAACTATTGGCATACAAATGCAAAAACCTTTTCCTTTTGAAATATTAAGGGTTCTTAAGTAACATCTAAATTATTAGACGTAGGGAAGTATAACATTGGTTTATCCACCAAATACCTGTCTGATAAAATAAGTCTCTCTGGATTGTTAGCTCTTACTTCCAGAGAAATACAGTTATCTATATTATTTTGTATGTTGTAGTTCAAACTTTTCCTTGGCCTACAGGTTTTCAAACAGGTTTTCTTTGATCTTTATTCTCTACATATTTTTCATTATTACCAGATTAGAATAGTTTGAAATTTGCACATAAAAAATATGAAATAAAAGATCAAAGAGTTTAGAGTGATTGACCATATCATAAAAAATCACTAGCCTAAAACCATTAATTAAAAAGCAGAGTTCTTGAGCAACCTTCATCTAAACAAATTTGTTTGACCAGCAGAATTTGCAGAACATCCTAAGGCTCTAGAGGCCTGAGCAATTCATTTCATTGAAAAAATTATTGTATCAATCACGATTTTCAAGGTCACTGACTCTTGCATTCCTTTTTTGGTTTGGAATATATTATATTACCCCCTTTCATTCTCACATCTCATAAGTAAATCTCCCTTCTGTTTGCCATACAATTTTAATGTTAGCCAAGAGAAATTGTTCTTGAATCAATCATCAATCCCCTATTGACATGTTTCTTTTCTTTCATTACTTATTGCTTAATGTTGGACTGACATTGTTAGGAAAATTCTGTCTTGGTCACTCATAGGAGTTAAAAGGTAAGAAATACTTGAAATGAGTAAAAACGCCAAAATTTCTACTTTTTTATGGTCACTCTTCTTAGAGAATTTTTAATAGTTTCCCTCTGATTTAATGATGGCTAAATTGTTATTCTGGAAAAAAAAAATTTTGATGATTGCTCTAAATTCAATATCCTGCATCTGAAGTGATACCCATGCCACAATCTCGAAATTGCATGTTTAAAACTTTGTAGTACCTTTGCTATTCTCTTATTCACTAAATGAGGCTCGAATTATACTGTAAGCTTACTCATCTCATCATCAATTTGTCGATTAGTAAACCGATGACGGAAAGGGGGAAGGAAAAACCCCAAACACGTGCAAATGAGTACTCATCCACCTTACCTACACAATTTTGTGATTGAACGAGCTGCAATCTGTGCTTCGGACGTTTGTTGGCAATCAGATTGCTATTTCGCGGACATATTTTGTGGAGATATCTAAAATTGAGCAAATAGAGCGGTAAATAACGAGCAGAAATGCGATTCACGTTATTTACGAAGCTAAAGGCAGCCGCCATTTCTGCTTTGGATCAAGTCGTGGACAGTTCGTTTAGATCTACATGAAGTATCAAGTGAGAGAGGGAGAGAAAGAGGGAGAGTGGGGGAGGGAGAGACCTTGTGTCATACCACTGGTAGGTCGTAAACAATCATCATCAGAAGGTGATCACAAGATTTTTTTCAATCTCTTCCCCTTCTGTTTTAATTTGTCCAAAAAATCATGATGTCTCTTGAAAAATTGAGTATTCGCTCAGTGGATTTCAAGGGAAAGCGTGTTTTGATGAGGTAAGCTATCTGAGTAGTGCCATGTTGCCAGTACCCACTATATTGTATGTTCCTGAGTTCAGTGCAAGAGTGTAATATTGCTGTCCCCGGTTAAAATACTCACAAACTCTTTTATTTTACAGAGTGGACTTCAATGTACCCTTAAAAGACAAGGATATCACGAACAACCAACGGTATGAGAGATCGTGCACTGACTCATGAACTGAATGCAAAGTGTAATTTACGAGCACCCCCCCCCCCCCCCCCCACCCCATCATTACATATTAAGTATACAGTGCGATCAAAGACGCGTAAGAAACCCTGTTAATCTAACATAATTTTTGGAAATCGAGGCTTTGTGATCATTTTTGTAAGTTAAGTTAACGTGATATCTTCCACCTTTCTAGCTCAATCTGTGGAGAGTCGAGTTAGAGGGCGGTGGAAGGGAAGGGTACCGGTAAAGTTTCCGCACAGGTACCGGTAAAGTTTCCGTACAGCCCCATACTATTGTCAAAACAAATCTGTTCTCCCAATGGAATTATATTGTTTTTTTTTTATTGTTTTCTCTAGTCGAGAACTGAATGCATAATGTAGTATGGGGCTGTGCGGAAATTTTACCAGGGTACCTTTCATATGAGTCAACGAGATGTTTGTTATTCTTCAAGTATTGTGGCTGCTTTGCCCTCCATCCAACATTGCTTGGAGCATGAAGCTAAGAGTGTAGTATTGATGAGTCACCTGGGACGTCCTGATGGTAAAAGAGAAGGAAAGTATTCCTTAGCCCCTGTTGCTGATGAACTGAAGAAACTGTTGAACAAGTATGTAAACGCTATATTTAGAGCATGCTAATTTATGATTTTTAGTAATCATTAAATGGAATTTTAGTCTGAGTCATGAACACAGAACAAAAAATTTGGGAATGCAGTGATAAAGGTATCTGTAGGTGATAAACTGAAACAATAGATACTAAAATTAACCAAAACATTACAGTAAAAGGCTGAATTCTGTTTATAGTGACAATAAAATATCTTAATATATATGTAGGCTAATCTCATGATGAAACTCTTCCTGCAACATTCAGTATTGCAAGGAGAGGGAACAAACTTTTACAAATTCCCAAGCAAATTGTGGCAAATATGTTTCAAGCAAGAAGAAGCTTGTGGAATCTATGCTGTGAATCAGCAGTAACCTTGTCAAACATTCTGAAATTTGTCATCGCTTTTCTCCATTGAAAAAGAGTACATAGAACAGATTGACTAAGGGAGGCTATTGATTATTGACTAAGGATTGAATGTATATGTGTAACATAAAACAGCATTAGCTCATGTGGTAGTCTTCACTAACTCCTCTATGTGTACATCCCACTTAAGATCACAACTAAATTGTTGTCACTAATCACAAACCAAAAAGGATTTGAAGTCTATGATAATATTGTCAGTATCACATGATATTAGTGGTATAGTGTGAGTGAATATTATGCATTGTGTTTAAATATTTTCTTTGGCTTTAGAGTAATTTTTATTTTTCTTTATCTTGTGATCCTTATCAGCCTCTGGCACCAAGGTGATTAAAGATCAAACTGGCTTGAAAATTTTTTTATCTCATAAAATTTAAATATAAAAAAATACACTTTGTTATATGTGTCTGGTATGTGTAATTCTCCTGAAGAAAACAAGGTAATGCAATAATTAACTGAGAAATTTGATAGTGATGATAAATATTATTGAGTGTTGTATTTTTTTTAGAGATGTGAAGTTTCTGTCAGACTGTGTGGGACCAGTGGTGGAAAAAGCCTGTGAAAACCCTAGTCCTGGTATTATTTAACTTTCTCTTGACTTTTAGTTATTAGATGATTGTAGTTTTGCATTGTATTATAATCATCTTATATAATAGCATCGTTTTTTGTCTGTTTGTGTATTATTATGATGGTTTAAATGAAGTAAAAAATTTAGGGCTGAATAGCTGGCTGTAGCAAAATAGCGAGGGAGTCATGAAATGGAACTAGTGAATTGATTAATTTACTAACATGACTGTATTTATATGTATTTTGGGTGAATAAACACTTTTCCTTATGCTTGAAGGGTGTAGTGTGCACGAAAATGCTCCTTTATTTGATTTACAAATCTTAAGTAACTGTGGGTCATTGTGTGGTGCCTCTTTTTTCCAGTGCTTTCAATAAGAGCTGGCACTTGCCAGAGCTCCAGTGGGTATTCTGTTGTGAATTCCTTGGTATGCTTTAGAAGCTTTCAAGCAAACTTATGAAGTGAGACCTAAAACACCTCAAGATTTTCTTGAGTTCTTTCAGTCCACTTTTACCTTCACATACAAATTTTAATAAAATTGGTTTACATTGTCTTATACATTCAAGCACAAATTTCTAGTGAAAAGAAATTTTGATTTTCCATAAACATACTGACTCAAATTTCAGTAACCTTGTGTCCTTTCAGAGGACTTTTGTGTGAAACTCAAGGAGCAGATTTGCATGTCAGCTAATGGAAGATTTTGATTGGCAATAAAATCATCAGCTAAACAATTGTTACAAAGGAGACAAATACTTCATGATCATCTACAGAAGTTTGACATGAAAAACTTAGTTTGAAGCCAGTTTATTGTGAATGGAGGTATTGGGATGACAAAAGGGAAATTTTTTTTTACATTATTATCTGGCGAGTGCTTTATTGAGGTAGCCACCTTCTTCAAATCTTATATAAAGCACTGTTTTTACAGACCAATTTTATATTTTCCAGTCCTTTACTAATCTTACTTGTGTATATTTAGTTTTTGTGATCAGATCTGGTCCTACCTTTATTAGGTTCAGTGATTTTGTTGGAAAACTTACGTTTTCATGTGGAGGAAGAAGGCAAAGGTGTTGATAGTGAGGGAAAGAAGGTATATCAATGTACTACAATTGAAAAAGATAATGACTGAAAATTGTGTTATCTCTGTATTTACATTATTGATATGAAAACCGATGTTATTGTTCATTGTGATGGTAAGTCATGATAAACTGTTTTCTTGTTTGACTCACAGTTTGTGGTCGCTTAAGATGTAGGTTGCGACATTTTGACTGCTTACTGCTAGTCTTCATCAGGTGATGGGGTGGACTGCTCGCAGGTTACCATTTGTATCACGGCGATTTAATGCCATTGCCAGATTGTGATCCCCATTGTTCCAGTGAGTTCTGGTTTTCCAGCTTCAGGAATTTCAATTCCACTATCCCTGTTGATATTATCAGGTTGAAGTCTTTTGTGGATAGCTTCCTTGACTCTTCTGGTGTAACAATGTAAGTCTCAATCAGTAACTTTACTTCATTCCAAATCAGGTGGTGGCTGGTCTTGTGGGCTTGCTCAGAAACAGGGGTGGTCTGGGTACATGCTAAACATCTATCCGTCTCCTGTTCTTTCAGCAAAATTCAATCCTTTCTTTGAGGTATTTGAAAAACAAGCAGTAGAATCTGCAACACAGAAACCCAAGATCTAGAACCACTACATTGATGACACCTTCACCATCCTGGATTGCAGTTATGTTGACTGTTTCTTACAGTATCTAAACAGTCAACAACCTACCATCCAAGTCACCTTGAAAACTGAGAAAGACAACAAGATCACCTTTCTCTATATGTCAGTTATGAGGAAACCAGACAGATGCCTGACCACCAGTGTCCACAAAAAATTCACTCACACTTTTCAGTACTTAGCATATGATTCACACCATCCTCAATCAGTAAAGCGCAGTATTGTTAAGTGTTTGTTTGACCAGGGGAAGCATCTCATGACAAAACCATCAATCATCTCTAGGAATCAGTTCTTGTTTCCAATGGTTATCCCTCTTCCTTTGTACAGAAGGTTACGAAGACAAGAAACTCCTCCTCAAGCAGAGACCCTGTGATGCTGTTCAAGTTTACAGTGGTTTTGCCCTTTGTAAAAGGTGTATCAGAGCCTTTTTGCCCTTGCCTGCAGCAACAAGGCATCTGTGCAGTATTCAAATCTGACATTACACTTAGATCACATTTGGTACAGCCAAAGGACACTGTCAATCTAGCTAGACAGGACAGCATGTTTTACAGAATTCCCTGTGAGTGCAGTAAAATCTATGTTGGTGAAACAGGAAGACCTATGCAAGAGAGGATGAAAAAACATGAGAGGGATATACTTTTAGCCTGTACCCAGACCTCTACCATTTGTGAGCATGCCATCAAGAATGGCCACCATCCACTTTGGAACAAAGTGAAATTTATTGATCGAGACTCACACTGGTACACCACAAGGAAGCTATCCACGCAAGACTTTACCTCAATAACAGTAACAAGGACAACGGAATTGAAATTCCTGAAGCGTGGATACCAACAATCAAGGAACACGGCAGGAGACTGGTACCACAGCAAACCACCAAGAAAACAACTTGGAGTCAGATCTCTCAGAAAACCAGAACTCACTGGAACAATGGGGATCAAAATTCACCAATTGCATCATATTGTCATGATACAAATGGTAACACATGAGCAGTCAACCCCATTGCCTGATGAAGACTAGCAATAAGCAGTCAAAATGTTATGATTTACATCTCAAGTGACTACATTGTGAGACAAACGATTAAACAGCTTATTATCATTGGCATTGTTTTTGAATTGATTTTATGCTATGACATAAATTATATTATGACCAACTTATGACTGATTTTTTCAAGGTCAGCGAGACTACACAATTATGAAGACCATGATATTTTATTACATTATAATGATTATGGTGCAAGTTGGGTGATATAATTGATACACACAGAAAGTGGCTGTTGGTTAAACACTTGCCAAAACAAACGGAATGAAGAGTGGATTTTATAAGTGAAGTAGTAACTGTATCTTTGGCCACAATGTTAGGTTAAAGCAAGCCCAGAGTCAGTGAAAGCATTTCGTGAATCCTTAGCAAAGCTTGGAGACATTTACATTAATGATGCTTTTGGCACAGCTCACAGAGCCCACAGTTAAGTTGTGCTGTATTTGTGTTTACTTTGAAATCCATCTTGTCTATGTCAAACAATTCATAACTTCAGGAAGACTATAATTTTATGAAAAGAAAATATTTAATGCAAAAAATTCTGCCCTTTGACCTGAAATTGCTTGAGATAACATGCAGGTCAACCCTTAAACTCAAATCAGTGACCAATAGAGAATTTTCCTCAAAACAATATCAATATAAAAACAATACCATGCATACAAGTGGTGAGAATAAAGAAAAACATCAATTTGGGGATTGTTAGTGGATCCAAAACCAAATTCTCCGAACTAACATGATTAAAAGAATCGTATGGTAGACAGTTATGAGAATTACCTGTAGTAACAAGATCTTGGGAGTTAATAGGTTAAAGACATTTGTACTAAGGATGTGATTATCAAGTTTATTAATTTAAACTAGATACTCTACGTAGCAAGGTTACTAATCTAAATTCTTTAATTTTATCAACAGTTCTATGGTGGGGGTTGATCATACTGTCAAGGCTGCAGGATTTCTGATGGAAAAAGAGTTATTCTACTTCTCTAAAGCTTTGGAAAAACCTGATAGACCATTTCTGGCCATATTAGGAGGGTGGGTACTCTTGCCATCATTAAACTTAGTTACTCTTTTTCTGAATGGCCTCTTCTTGAAAAAATAACTGTCAGGTTCCCCTCTTTGTCAAGTGTGAAAGTATTATGCTGCCATTATCACCATATAGATTACATCTTTCCTGTATTTGCCATTAATTGCTATATCCAGGGATGATTTGAAGGGCAAGAAGGTGTGAATAATGAGGAAAATTCATTAGATCTCTATTTATGAATTAAACAGTAACACAAATTTTTTTCAGAGCAAAAGTTGCTGACAAGATTCAGCTCATTGAAAACTTACTGAAAATAGTAAATGAGATGATCATTGGAGGTGGAATGGCATATACCTTCACTAAAGTACTTAGTAACATGGAGGTATGAAAAATAAAGCTTCCCTAAGCTCTCTCTCTTTCTTCAGTTCCTACAATGGTGTATTCTGGAAAAAAATGTGAACATAATAATTTTGAGTTACAGTATGTAGAAAATGATACTTTGTAACAATGGAGAAATTTTTCACTTTTCACTGATAAAAATACGTAATCATGAAAAAACTCACTCTTTCCACCTGTCCCCATCACTAGGTGAAATTATTTCTAATGCATTGCAAGAAAGGAGGTTGAATTTGAGGTGAATCACACTAATGATACAGTGGTCATAATAACAAGAATTACCTGAATTTCTGTCTGCAGTCAAATTATGAGGTTTGCAAAAATTTGTGAGGGAAATGGTTGGTTTGAAAATGACAATATAAGGCTATGACCTAATGTATGTAACTTTTTTCTTAGATTGGCAAGTCTCTTTTTGATGAAGAAGGTTCAAAAATAGTTCTTGACCTCTTTAGAAAGGCCAACGAACAAGGAGTGACCCTCCATTTGCCTGTTGACTTTGTTACAGCCAGCAAATTTGCAGAGGATGCAGAGGCAAGTTATTTATTTAGAAGTTCTGCCACAACCTTGTCCATTTAGATTTTCAGTTTTGGGTTAAGCCTTTTTTATGTAAGTTATGAATGACTGAGCCACAATGATTTTCCCAGTGATACTCTTTTGTGTTTCCAGTTGATTTGCTTGAGTTATCTGTTCATGTGCAAAAGTTAACTTGGCAAAGAACCACTCTACTTTTCATCAAATGGATATACACCTGGAGAGTGTTCTTTGTATGTGAGAGTTCTTGGCATTTCTTATGTTTTTACTGAGTTTTTTAGGTTAAAATGTGCATTTCAAATGGGTTGCTCCTGCCAACAGAAAAATTAAAAAGCATGCTCTGAAAAACCTTTATTTTACATTGTGGAAGCAATAGTCCTTTTCACAGTTGTGTATTTAGTTGCCAAGCCTTTGACTTAGAGTGAGGCTAAAGGTGACCTTGTTGTGATAGAGACCAGTATCTAGTGAGCTTGATAAGAAAGTAATTTGCATTTCAAAAGCAGCAAGGTTTGTATCATAACAAGGTCAACCTTAGCCTCACTCCTATTCAAAGACTTGGCAACCAAGCACACAACTGTAAAGTGAACTATTTAATGCAATGAATGACTCCATTAAATTAAATAATTCATCTCAAAAGTCTAGCTTTGAATACCCCCAATTTCATAAGAAATTGTCCTCATAAATTTTGTTTCCACTATTACACAGGTTGGGAGTGCCACTCTAGAATCAGGAATCCCAGCAGATTGGATGGTAGTTAAAATGATTGGTTCATACGTCAGCATGCATTTACACCCTGTATGGGGATATGAAGCACGCAGGAATTTTTGAGAGCACAAAAGAAGAGTCATAGAACTCTAGCTTCTTGAGTGCTCTCAAAACTTCCCAAATCACAGTGTACATTTGGCAATCAGATTTCAAAGGCAATTTGCACATCTGCCTGGTTTACCAAACAACTGCATACTCAAAGGCAAGGCTAAAATGACCCGTGCAAAAGGTTTGAAATGCTCGAATTGCTGTTTACTCAAATTCACAACCAGAAAATTGCAAAGCATTGTGTTTAAATTTCTGAACATTTTCTGATTTTAAGCTAACTCTTTTGTTGCACAATACTTTAGGGCACAACTTATCTTCACTTAAAAATAATATATTTGGTCCCAAAAGATGGTCTGAAATTGGCAAAGCTCAACTTTTCTCAGCAAATTCAGTTTTCATTTTCCACCCCTAATTTGTATCATGTCTGGGAATTGTAAAGCTCTCTCTATCACCTCTAAGGCTTACAGGACCATTGCTTTCCATGGCAAGTATCCTTTTTATTAAGTACTTCAAAAATTGTATCTCAATCGGATGGAACAAAAAAACCATTTTGAAATTCCCAAAACTCATGGCCAAACTCAGGTTGGCAAGTCTGCAGTTGAATTTCAGTCTCAAGGTATTTGTTTGCTGAGGCTCAGCTACTGAATTTGGGTTCTTGAAGTTGCTACCTATGATGTAAGTAATTATTTTTAAGGACAATTCAAGTTGACATGTCTTTACACTGACTGGGGTTTGCTGATTAGTTTGTTCCATAATCTCCATGTATATGAAAGATTTGGTACTAATTATTACCTGTGATCATACAAATATACCTCCTTATGCATGGTGGAATGGTATAATTATTAATTTTTCGGGGGGATGTAGACTTTAGGGGCATACATTTTATCTTGTACAATCTTAATTCCATGAAACTGTAAGGGTTGAGCACTGTTTGTAACTACAGTAGTTTAAATAAACATCCTTCCCCTCCAAGATATAAAGGATTGAAAATAATCTTGGAATAGAGGGTGAACATTTTCTGAAATTTGTTGTATTTAATTCTTATTATGAATTATGTGATTCATTAGGGATTAGACATTGGTCCAGAAAGTGTCAAGGCATTTAAAAAAGTTATAGAAGGAGCAAAAACTATTGTGTGGAATGGGTAGGTGCACAATTAATTGATTTTTTTCCTTGGTTATATAGATCTCATCTGTGCTATTGAACAGTTACATGTATATTGATTGTGATAATCCAGCTGACTTGTACCCCTAGGAGGAGTAAGTTTATCTAACTTGTTACTCTCAATCATAACACCCTTTTGTCCCAAACAAGAAAAAATGTTTGCATAGAAATAGCTAATGAACACAGCTGGTAACCAAATGCAGTTTGTGTGCAGTAGTCTGATGTCTTTCTGATACTAAGCAGCATACAAAAGAAGGATGCAAACAACTGATTTATTTAAGCTTTCTTTAATTTGGATGTATTTTTCCTAGAGTTATTTTGTCATGTGTGGTTATTAGCTGTTAAAGGCTGTTTAGCCTCGTGATGATGTCTTCATTTAATGCTGAAGTTAAAAATTAGAAATTAGGTTGTCAACATGCATTCACACACCATTGATAAAGTCACAAGTGGGGTGGCCACCAATTTTGGTGTATTTTAACCCAGATTTTCTGGATTAATGGCTGCAGTCTTTTGTAAGTTATTTCACAGACAGATAATTCACTAACTGGCTCAAAAAAAATCCCTAGTTTGTATCATTGAACACATCAGTGTGAACTATTTGGCTAATACTCATGTCATTGTATCATTCTTCAACTTTCTGCATTGCAGTCCAATGGGTGTATTTGAAATGGCCAAATTTGAGGCAGGGACGAAAGGTCTTATGGATGCAGTTGTTGAAGCAACAAAGGCTGGAAAGACGACCATAATTGGTAAAAAATCCATCAACATTGTGCAAAAGGATACCAGGAATATGACAGTGGTGTTCTCTACTTAGCCATGAGACAATGTCTCTAGAATATGTTGCTACCCTAACCAGCAGTTAGCGATAATTACTCAAAAGAAAACTTCTTGGTTCTTGATGGTACTTGTGATAGAGCATGCTGTCTAAGCTCAGGATTAGGTCATTGGAGAAGACAACAGACTGATGATATTTTTTTGTTATCTTCAATTTTGTTGTTAGGTGGAGGGGATACAGCCACTTGCTGTGCCAAATATGGTACTGAGGATCTTGTAAGCCATGTCAGCACTGGGGGAGGTGCATCACTTGAACTCCTAGAAGGTAACACCACCTTGTTTTTTTACTTTTTATTAATATTTTGTAATGTACCAAGGTGATGTTCTGTTGTTGATGTCTTGTTCCTATTTGAAGGTAAAACCCTGCCAGGAGTTGCTGCTTTGTCAAACGCATGACTAAGGATCAGTCATCTCTGAGATTGTAATGTGATTAGTAGCTCGCATTTAGTACATATTTGGGAGTTCGGTTTCACAGCTGGCAAAATTAGTTATTAATAAGAGGATAAATCCCAATTACTCTGCATGCATAAGTCAAATAAAAATCTTTTAGGGAATGTTTACAGTGTAGTTGGTGTATATACACATACACTTCATCCAAAATTTGAGTGTTATTGTCAAGTGATACTGCTGATTGTTGTAGCACAATGAGTGATTTGCTGGGAGAAAATAAATACTGACAAACAAACAACAGTGGGTGTTGAGGATTTTGTCTTATAGCAGGTTGTATGTATCCGATTTCATAGCAGTTTGTAATCACCCGAAGCAATAACAATGATATGACCATGTGGTGGATGACCATATACTAGCAACTGTAGTAGTAATAAAAGTTTTATAAGTAACTTCTCAGCAGTCTGGTTTCTAGTTTCTTTTCTTAAAAAATAACCAACTCTCACTTGAAAAAAAAACAAAATACTTTATTAACATTATTATCATATTAGAAACTGCTTGTACAATTTTAAGTTACACTTTGGTGAAAATAAAGTCACTCTATCCTTAACACAAAAGTTTATAAGCCTGACAATAATTAAGTCCCATTGGTGGCCAGTATTTTAGCAAATCTTAACAAGAATATACAAAAATCTTTTAGTTTCTCACTTGAAGGTATTGACATTAATATAAACAATAAGATCAATGTTTATTTCCTCCTTACCATATGGAGTGCTATCTTACTGAAAGGGAGGAAATTCAACACTATGTGCAGATATATCTACAATCTGCACAACTACCAATGGCAACTTATCCTTGACCATTAAGGAAAGAACACTTTGTGTACAGCAAGGAAAGTTCAAATGCTTGCCAAACAAGAAGTAGCTCATGAAAAATACTGACACAATATTTCCCCTCATAATTCTACTTAGGGGATAGTAACAAGACTCTGTTTTACTAGACAACTCTTTCAACAACCTGTGTCAATTTTCTTGCACCCTGTGATACAAGTAACAAAATAAATTTTTAATGCAGCAACTACTGAATTTACCTCCCAATGTATAGAAAATTGTTGTCATATTCTGTCAGTTGTTAAGGGAGCCTGTGCATGTACACTTTCTCTTCTTGCTGTTGCACCAGAAGAAGTCCATAAATACTCCTTTGGTTGTTTTCAGTACCTCACTTAATCTAACTTCCTTTAAACAGGTTCCTTGCCCAATAATAAAACTTCTACAAATTGCAAACAACATAGCTTGGGCTTGAAATATATGGTAATTACTGTATGACCCCATAGAGCTGAAACACCACCAATAGTTTAGTGGTAAATAACTATTCAGTAAATAAATGCTACACACAAAATGTGTAATAAGTTACTTATTATCCAACTGCCTTATCTTATCATTTCTTATGCATGATTTGCAAAAATGTCCCCTATTTCTCCTTTTAAACAACTCACCCAAGTATAGCTAAACCTGTTGAACAGGTTATTTTTTACAATGCAAAACAACCAACTGTCCAAATGGCCTTGCAATATTGCAAGGTATTTGAGCTCAATCCATGCACTATTTGCATGCTACTTAATGCAGTTGGATAGTAAATGGTGTTACATATGTACAAATAGATGAAAGGGTGAACTTAACAAACATGATTTCCTGCCATTAATGTTAACTTCTATTCAGTGATGAAGGTAATTCATCCAGTTAGTATCTACCTGATTACCTATTTTAGAATAGGATCCTCTTGACCCATAGATTGCTTTACATTCAAGGAAAAGTATACTCTGGGAGCCATTTAATCTTCTTCACCATAAAAAAGTTCTCAAACTGCCAGTGTCCTTAGGCAAAATAGCAACCAGTTTGAAAACCTATTCTTTTACTTTTCAGAATCTCAAACCATGCAAAAGAGTAGATTTTCATTAATTCTTTTACTTGTGGAAATACCAATTACAGGGTTTCTGGAGCCTACTTCTTTAAGAAAAGGGAAAAAAAGCTAGAAACAAATTATTTTTAAGTGCAGGTTTATACTGTCATTTGGTTTCATCAGCAGAGTCGATAATCTAAAATGCTTATGTTTTGCTGGGTACTTTCAGTTGGTTTTGAGAGTTGAAATGCTCTAACATCCATTTATTTCTCCTTTTTTTAATGTCTTACTGTATTTGCTGTATGTCGCTAAAAGAATGTCCCTCTTAAGACTGTCAAAAGCATTCATATCAACATTTAAGTGTGATCATTTCAACAAAAAACAACTCCTGTTATGGTGTACACCAGGAATGAAAAAAGGGACTTGTGACCCTCAATCCCTCCCATTCTCATTAGTTAAGTTGCTTTCCAATTACATTTATATTTTTCATTTTCTCTTCCCTTTTTATCCTGCATGTTTGACTTTTCAGTTCATCAAGTACCAGTAACCAATTAATATGTGACTTATTAAAACAATTATACCATGAATTATGTCATATGTGACCAGAGCTAACAGCTAATATCATAATTATGTCTGTTAGTCATCTGAGATTGTAGCAATAACATGCTCAAGCTTGGAAGCCAGGGGTGATAACTCAGACTCTTCTAAAGCATCTTGCAGCTACAGAGGAATAAACAGTATTTTTCAAATTTTTACCCAAGTAACCAATATTAAAAAATAAATGATGTCAACTTTGAATTAAAGTTAAGAAGAATGACAACTGCTTATTAAATGGTTCATTTTTAATAGATTGGCATCAAGGCATTGTTGGCTCATGATGACTAAAGCTAGCTTTGAAATAAAAAAAACAGTAAAACTAAATAAATTTGCCACTATTGATTTTCACAGTTTACATTTCAACCTATGCAGTATAAGGAAGCTGTTTCTACAAAATTAAGAGGTAGAGGAGCTGGAAGCAAATCTTTTGGAAACTTATACAGCTCAAAAATGGCAAATTTTTCCATTACCCTGTTTACCTTACAGTTGCACCAACTAAAAACATAATAAGTGATACCCCTCTCTTCTTGCTTTGTTTAAGAGCAAGACCTGTGTGCTACACAAAAGCTATCCCATGATGCTAGTGATAGTTCAGAGCCTGTTTTGACAATCAATTCAACATATTTTGTTCATATAGGGGTCTTCACTCTACAGTTTATACCAAGTTTGGAATGTGTTTGTATTACCTGATCTTGATACTTTCTGACATAATCATACAATTCCTGGAGGGCACTGTCACCATCAAACTCTTGACTATGTTCCTTTGAAAGTAACAGTAACATACTAATTAATATTCAACAAAGCAGCAGTATGAGGGTATTCAACCCAGAAGCCCCCATTTGGTGCAAAACTATTTTTGTATGTTTGAGTATCATGTCCTGATGACATAACCAATTCCTCAAAGCTCAAAATTTACTGAGCTTTGCTCTCAGAAAACTTGTCAGAAGACAAATATCCAATTAAATATAGATATACACACATATATACATGAATATATTGAGATGAAAGTATAGTCAATAGTGAGTAATTTAATAAAATCCCCTGATGAGTGAGTGATTTTAATATGAAAGTAGAGCAAATAGAGAGTAATTTTAATAAAATCCCCTGATGAGTGAGTAATCACAAAACAGGCTTGTACCAATGAAAGTATAGTCTCTGTTTTTTTCCCCTATCTCAATATATATTGTGCTCTGCTTCTACCTATCGAGCATTGTACAACAGAAAAATCAAAACTGACTTCTTACATATATATATATATATATATATATATATATATTGCAGCTTTAGAGTTAAATTGGGGAAAGCAAATATAAAAATATGAACTTAACATTGAAAGTTTGTGTCAAATTTTGATGGCCATATAATAGTTTTCATGCTGCACAATTGTTTAATCAGATTTGTAGGGTAGTTAATATAATTTGATATAGGCCATACATGGTACAGATGTCTTTGAAATTTGTTCCATCAGGAGTCAATATATAAAGCATGAATCCAAACTCTCAGAGGGTATCTACTAAACAGGGCTACTTGTGAATAGCTTTTATGCCAGCAACCTTACCATGGAGAAATCACTAAAGAACTTTGATAACTCTTGAGGTGTTGGGGCAGGTGATGCTTGTATATCAGAATAAAACCTGTAATATAAGATTAAAACACATTTTTTGAAGTTTCTAGGATAAGACTGGTTGCAAGCTTTGCTGGATACTTAGTCCCCAAAAAAGTAATAAATAACTAATTAATTTAATATGAAAGTCCCCCTTCTTGAGTAAAACCTTCTAATACAATAGATGCCTTCCCTGACCCAAAAATTTCAAAAGCATGGCAAATATAATTTAGTATTATGATTTTGATATTCAAACCAAGACACAGTACTAAGAAAAAATGTTTTTTAAAAGAACTCACTTTAAATGTCAAGAAATTCTTTCTGTGACACATTGGTGACTTACCTCTCAACATCTTGGCGATATCCTGGAATTTCTCTTGCATAGAGCAGTTTATTTGATGGTGAATCCTGCATACAGTAATGACAAAAAATATATAATGTTGACATGATATTGATTAATGATCTGGATTTTACATCAAGGCTAAGTTTAACTTAAAAGGTTATAATTTACCTTTCCCAGGACATGCTCAGACACAGAACAGGAATCCATGAACAACTTAAAAGACAAAAAAATGCATTAAAAAATATATCAGTATCCATTTCTGTACAATTGTCAAGTTATCTATGGTCCTTAATGACATTATGGAAGAATGATAAATTCAAGCTGGGACATTACATGGTTTGCACAATGCTTTTTGGGATGTTTTGCACATTGAGACCCAGGCATGCTAGACAAATTTTTGTTTATTTTGCAAAAAATCGGTTATCAGTTCAGGGAGACAAGTGCACCCAGTGATTTTTTTATCCTACCAAATTTTGGTGAGCTCTAACAATCTTTAAAGGTGCCATCATCCTGCCTAGAAGCAGGATAAAGTTTTGCCAGGCCTGAAATCTCATAGATTTTCCCATTTATAAGCCACAATTTGAAGGATCAAATCAATCAGGAAAATTTTATCTTGCTTTTTAAATGGCAGTTGGAATGCTACATGACAACCAGTAATCAGAATTCAACGATTATGGCTCCCAAGTTTATAGTTAAGCTGAATCCCCAGCAGGTCCAAATACTGCTCAGTTTTGTATATTCCTGTGATTGACATTTGGTGGTTAACAAATATTTTGCTGTTTCCAGTGTGCCTGTGATTGACAAATTGAAAATTTAGCAGAGATAAATTTCAATGTCGAGATTTGATGTGGAACAAAATAAATTTTGCAAGCCTAGTGCACTCAGGCCCTGTACCTCTATGGTTAGGCTTGAATAACTTGGAAAAGTTTCAATTTTTCCTTTCTAAGTTACAACAAGTTCACCCACCATATGTTTAACCATTAAATTACCAACAAGCATATGGGTTGATGGTAAGTTGATTGTGCCCTGCTGGTCACCAGTCCTCATCAACCAGATGGTTTGATGGTAAATACAATAACCCCTGCCAGTCAGCAGTCATTACCAACAAAATGGTCAATCAATAAGTACATTGACCCCTTTTGGTCATTAGTCATTAGACCAAGTACATTGTATGTGCATTCCATAACATAAAGATCTTACCTGTGCAACAACAGACAAGCAGGAGTCAACAATGGCAGACTTGCAAACATCAAATATGAAGTTTGGATTCTTAATTATATTTATCCAGAACCTCAATGGCAAACTGAAAGAGAAAGGAAAAATATGAAGATTTGAGCTTAAACTGGCAATAAAATTTTGCTTTATAATTACTCTGACCATGCAATGCATACTTGGGGCTCAAGGCACTATAGCAAACATCTAAATTTGGAAGCTTAACCCAAAAGTAAGAGACATTTTAAGTAAGTGGCAATTAAAATAAAGCTGTGTACATGAATGTCACTGTCCATTTTCTTCAGTGATGATGTCAAGGAGACAATGAAGAAAATGACCAACCAATACAATTTGCTGACTTAGTTCTTTTAAAGTACTAGAATGTGGAGAAGAGATGGATTCTGGTTTGTTGCTTGTAAAGGAAAATTCTAAAAGTTACACTTGTTTATGGTCATCATGAGCATTTGCTCCTTCTACATATGCAGTATGGACAAGGAACCATGGCAAGGAAAATGGAGTGCTCAAACTTACTTTTTCAGTGCTCCTCAAGGAAATTTATCCAAAATTGTCTTAATTTCTAGTTCATTGACAATTTTATGGATAATTTACTAAAAATATCTTATAATCTAAACTAAATATTGCACAAGTAACACTACCTTATAACAGTTCAACAATGGTTCCTTTTGTGATAAGGAAAGGAACTTAATCTCCTCATAGACTCTGATTTGCTTGTCTAATTGGAGGTCTTCAAAATGCCTAAAGTTTGTTATTATATGCAAATGTAAGTACCTGTTGTTTTTCCATGTATGTAAGACTTCAGGATCTGATAGGTTGAGTTCTCTAGCTTGTGTATCGAGAAGGTCAAAGAGAAACTTGACAGCTGGAGGTAAGCTGCAGCCACGGCGATACTTCATGAAAACAGTGTGAAAAAGCCGATCTACAAACTGCTGAAGTGTACCCTGCACAAAAAGAGAGTAACTGTGAACCACACAGTATCCTGTGTTAAGCAAGCCTTAACACTAAAAGTGACTCCCAATGAAGTCTGGTAGAAATTCAGAGAAAATTGATTTCAGGTTATGAATTAGCTTAAAGGATTCTTTCAATTAATTCTACGTACAAGGAATTAAAAACCCCTGTCAATAGTAAATTGATGACAGAAGTCATCTGGAGCAGGTTTCTACAGTTAGCATGATATGTACTAAGTGGTAGAGATTACCTTTGTCATCAACAGTCTAGTTAGATAAATCTCTGACAAGAACTTGCTGTTATGATCATCTTCTACCCTTTCAGTAGGGTAATCCATTTGTTTAACCTGTGCCATACAAAGAAAAGAAGCCAGACTACAAATCTTACAAAAGTATAAAGAGGAATGATTTTTACTTCTAACTCAATAATTAACTTGTAGGTTTTTTACACTAAAATCAATCATTTTCATTTTTTTAGAAGCATTTTCTTTAAAAAGACCAATCAAAGTTCTAAATGAAGCTTATAAATGTTAAGTCACCACAGAATGAGTCAAGAAAATCTCAATGTTAAGTGCAATGCAAAGAAAACTGTGGTATTTACAGAGATCATTCATCTTTAAATCATTCCATCTCATTTATATACCCACAGAAAAAGTGTCTCATCAGTTAAGGAGAGCATAACTTCAACATCAACTTTCAACTTAAAAAAAAGAGCCCATACCAAATGCCACAGCCTGCCACCCTCATCTGGTCCATCTGTATTCATAGCTGCCAAAGGGCTGTAACTTCCAGCAGGACTGAAGTTAACTCGTAGTATATTCTTTTTGTTTAACTCTTTGTGGAAAAGAAGCAATTATCATCTATCATTATCAATCATCAATTTACTGTGAGATATGAGTCACTGTGTTGTGTTAGCAGGCAAGAGAATAAAATGCTGTCACATAACTTCTCTACAACCAGGTAGGAGTTGATCTGAAATTGACAGACATTACATCCAAGGGGAGTAATAATACTCACATTTGCTTCTTGCCATAGAAAATAAGATAAAGTCTACCAGGTTAAACCACTTGGCTCATGTTCAGAAAAACAATTTCAGAACTGCAGCATTATACTGGAAATACAATTCTCTCACCAGAGTCTGTTGAGCTGCAAAAGTATCTTTGTCCAGTGACAAGCTTCAGCGTAGCACCATCTGTCACCTATAGTTGATAGCAAGTATGATGTGCTTATAGGATACATTTCTTCTTGTAAATGGATTCTTCTTTCAAGAAGTTCTAACTCCCCAAAGAGTCAGGTCAATACCTAAGGGGCTTTAAATCACTCTATATTTTTATAGTTAGCACAATTATTGTCAGCCCATGGAAAGCCACAAATTAAATCAAATTGTAGCCACAGCTATATTCAAAGTTAACAGATGGACAAACAGAAGTGCTGAGAAGTTCTTGCAGCAGCCACCATACTTTAAGTGTCCACTTCAAAGCCATAGCTTATTACCTCATAGTCTTTAAGTGTATTAATCTTCCTCCATTCTCCCTCAATTAATGACTTAGAATCATCATTCCGCAAAGATATAACCCTTCCAGAACTCTGCTCCCATTCTGCAAATATTAAAGGAACTAATGATTAGTTTTAGAAACTAGGAAATTCTTGATTGTGGCTATATGAAAATCATATATGTAAACTGCTGCTGAAGTAGTGTTCATTACCACAGTTCATATATATGATTTTCATGTGTTTTCAGTCATTTACTCATCATTTCATGGGTTTATCACAAACCAACATGGTGACCACCTCCCAGCTGGCTTGTTAGCTTAGTTGTTTGAGCACTGCACCATTATTGCAGGGGTCATGCGTTTAAGTTCTGCGCTGGCCTAAATTTATTTCAGGCCTTATTTTCACTGCTGCCTGAGTAGTGTTCACTACTGTGAAGATCCCTTTCATATTGAAGGAAATTCTTGTTAACCAAAGGAAGACAGAGTGAGCTTTATTCCTACCTTAACAATCAAAAATAAAAGTTTCATAAAATTCTCACCAAGCTGATAATCATCTTTATCTGGACGACTTGAATATGGGGAATTCTGTAATGAGAGGATTTCCAGTCAATAAATCACAATGATGTATAGTAACAAAATAACTTACCAAAACAGAAATTATTCCAAAAACAAATTTACCAAAATGTGGTTTGAACAGTTAATTATTGTAAATGATCAAAATCAAATTGGCAGTCACTAAAGGCTGAAAGTTTTCATGTAACAGTACATAGTATGGACATTTAAACAAGGAAAAGAAGACTTCTGTATTATTTTTTGGATTATAAGGCATGCAAAGTATATATTTGGAATCTTGTGATTATCATGTGACAGATATCAAGATGTAACCATCTTAGGAAAGTTGGTTGTTATCCGTGAGAAAATGGAAGGAACAAAGAAAAATACTGGGCAAAAATATATGGAATTGAATCAGTACTTCAATGGCTCATCATGTGTGGCCTTCAAGTGAATATTGTACACATGACACCAGCTGTCACTTAAACAAGATGCAAACTTACTTGGGCTATTTAGGACAAGGATTTGAAGCCCATCTCAAATATCTCAATAGATAATATTGCCTCAAAAAAAAACAAACAAACAAAACAAACAAACAAAAAAAACAAACAAAAAAACTCAAACCTTGAATAAGACATCCAAGATCTTCTCTTTTGCCTGAGTGATGGTGTCGCAATCCAACATTGAAACTGTCACAGGCTGATTGCTTTCATAGGTAACTGTAACATTTAGAGGCTAACAGCAAAAGAAACCAATGAACACAGTCAAGCAATTAACAAAAATATAGCAGAACTTCAGAAATCGAAGTATTATGATCCCAAGAAAATATATATATATAGGCTGTTTATAATCCTGTTTTTTAAATAATCTTTTTTAAGGAAAAACTGGTCAATAATCTACCTTAAAGTCCACAGCTTGTCTGAGAAGTTTGTCTTCACTAAGTGAATATCTAGCCTCCCCAGTTACTGCATCCACTGGTCCCTTCTCAGATTGTTGTTTAAGTGCTTTAAACAACATGAATAATGGCTCTCCAGCATCATTCTACAAAGCAAAATGTTATCTTAGAAACAGTACACTACATATCATACACACTACTCATAAACAAGGGCTTCCATGGATAAAAATGAAGTATACATATAGTGCAGTAAAATATACATAAAACTTTACACCACTTCTAAACAATCCTGACATGTACTTTTTGTGCTTCTCAGTACATTCTACCTTTTCCATATGAAGAGCTTATATAAGTTTGCTACACTGTCTGCCATACATTTCTCACCATTTCAACTTTAAGACCTTTTAATTAGTTCAATCAATATGCCCTAGCAGATACTTTTATTTTTTCTAATCAGGTTTCTGTCTGATGGAGTATTGATATCGTAATTGAAAGAGAAACTATTTACTGGGGGAAAAGTCAACTTGTTTAAATACCAAATATTCTATAAATTCAAACTTGATCAGTTAACAGCTATTTTTGTACACAGTAAACCCACATGACATCTTAGTAATGAGCAGGTTCTTTGAGACATTCAATATAATTTTAATTATAAAACTTTAAGTAGCAGCAAGCTATGTCAAAAACAGGCTTACCAGAAAAAAAAAAAGCTTTGCCTTTTCCCTCCACCATTTAATTAGGCTCAAGCCAGTGCCTGAGATACACTCCATACTAACAAACTCCTTGATCTGATCTTGACTATAGGTAAATAAATTTTAACTATTTTGACTATTAATTCTCTTCCTCCCATTGTTATCACAAAAAAGATTCTCAAGTACAAAAAAAAAATAACTAATAACCTATTTATCAAAACTGTAATTAAAATTCCCTTCATCAGTAGGGTCAGCAAATGGTTTGAGATCTGGGTTACCTACCTTGAGGAAATCATACATACAGAAGGCCAACCAGTTTGTTAGCATCTTTTCTGCTACAGACTCAGTTCTGGAAGGGATATCAGTTTTTGGCATAAGATCGGTACTTGATTATCAGTGACAAATTACTATCACAGATCCCAGCATAGGGTCACTTAACAACTAAATCAAATATAATTCACACAAACATGTAGAAGCTCTACTATCATTTAAATGGCACATGATCAATTGTGACTAACTTACCTCCTTAGTAGCAGCTTTGGATGACTCTTTGCTACTGACTTGCGTATCAACTCACAAAGTAACTCCTTTAATATGCTGGCAAGAAGGACAGACACATTGTTCAAAGCAATATCCATACCTGAGCAGCACCTGTGCTTTTTCATTTTGAACCCATTAGTTTTACTTCATACAAGCAAGGCTTTCCAAAATTTTGGGTTTTAGACCCCTAGTCCCCCCACCCCCCCTGAGAAATTTTTCAGTGATCATCCATGTGATAGGAGTGAAGGTTTTTCTCCGATCAAAGAATCCAACATTTAACACACAACATTTTTTTTCGTTTGGCTTGCAGCTCAGGAACATTATAGGACTAAAAATTTATACCCTAAATAGAGCGTCCCCCCCTGCCACCATGAAAAACAAGCTGAATGAATATTGAATATGAATTACTTACTCAGTAGCATATTCCATCTTGGCTTGCAGAGCAACCATCAACAAAGATGCAACATTGCACCTGCAAGGGATAAATAATTGTAATTTCATTAACTATAAGAACTATCTCATACTTTATATTAAGAAATATTGTTAATAATGAATGAAAAGATTCAACATAATAATGGTCCAAATGAATCTTAATTCCATTTACCTGTTGCTTCACCTGGAACCTGCCCCCTTCCCCAACCATACCTTAGAGGAACTAAAAATTTAAAAACTTCCTACTTCAACACAGTAATATCTGAGAGCACAACCAACCTGTCTTTCATCTGAAAGGTATTTTGTGACTCCAAGGTGCGTATGAATACCAGAAGAAATTTTTTATTGTAGATAAGTTGGGAGAATTGTCGCAGTCCTTTCTCCCAGTTTTCTGCGAGAGTGCCCTTTGAAACATAAGAAAAAAAGTTCACATGAATATCAAAACATCCATCAACACACACCTCTTCACAACCACCCCACACTGACATCCCACCACCATGATTTGAGCTCTTAACCCTTTCACTCCTAGGAGTGAGCAAGACAATATCAATACAAGTAGTAAAGTACACTATCAAACAAGGGATATTGACAGCCCCTAATCTAAAGTCTGAAACTTCCAGGAAAATTCTCCTTTCTTACCCTAAATTATTCTTCTCATCGACCACAAAACTTAGATGGAGCCTAGTTTCACTCTAATGAATACCTTTTTATAATAAGGCTCAGATTTGTGTTAGATATAGCATTCCAGGTTTTCCAATTCTTTAAAGTGTTTACCTTGTGCTTGTGAAGCACAGGGTGATCACCTAAACCAGGGAACAACACATGCAATGCATACATGCGGAAATCTAAAAATGGCATTCCTGAATTAGATAAGTCACTGGTCAAATCTGTCACATCAGTCTGAAGTTCAGCAAAAGCTAAAATAAGACAAAATAATTAGAATTAAAATTTTATAATAACAACTGTAAGATAAAATAGTGGTACTATATCTTCTACAGTACAGAACACAAGCAGAATATTTCTTCTTTCTGAATCTTACTACACAATCCCACATGGGAAGGTGCCATTGCACAGGTTATGTATTATTCAATATTGTTACAGCCAGAATACATCACCTAACAGAAATACATTACCATTAGGCAAAGTTTTATCTTCTCTATCAGTACACCCCTTAATTTCACTCCAACTCCTTGCTCACCTTCCCTGCACTCTCGAGCAACTTTGGACTCCAAATTATTCATCTGCACCTCAAGGTTTTTAATAGCTTTTGACTTTTTACGACGAGAATGGCGATTCCAGCAAAGAATAATGACAACAATGATGAAAATGAGAAGAACTCCACCACCCACTCCAATCCAAACTTCAATAGGAATAACTTTGCTCTCCTCCTCTTTAAAGTACTCAAGATTACCCAAAGGAAAATTAAGATTACCAACCACAACCTAAGCCAAACAAAACAAAAATTAAATAAAGCACTTAGCAACACTTAATACATTATCAAGATGGTTAAACTGTGCATAAGATCAATAACAGAGCTTCAGACCTACAGGATTTTAGTTAAGGAGGATAGAGGGAAAAGATAAAATCAGATTCCAGACTGTAGCACTTCTTTGAAAGGCCAACTGACTGAAAAGGTTTCTACAACACTTAGCTAACTAGATGTAGAACATGATGTCTTTCAGGGTTTACTGTTACAATGTACATTTCCCAACAAAAAATATACAGCAAGACAAACTCTGAAGCACTAATGAATTTGTAGTTTACAAAGAAACCGTGGTGCTGCATTGGTGGGAAGTAACAAGATAATTTGGTTTTATTAACTAAAGTAATAAGCAAATGTTTTGCACTTTTACCCTTTGTCAGAGTGAATAATGCACTTGAGTCTAACTGTTTTTACAAGGTCCCATCACATAGACAAACAAGTGTTTTTGATGGGAACTGGTACAACTTTGATGAAAGCCAGAAAAATTTTGTCAAACCAAGAGAGAAAACTGTATTTGTTTTTTCTTTATTTTGGATGTAGGCAGAAGGTTTAGCACTAAATGCTTACTTAATGTACTTGACCCAGTTCTTCTGGAACATAACTAACATTATCAAAGGAAGCTTACTGACATACATTTACCTTAACAGAATACAGTCCATCAGATGCTTGTGGGGAATGGCTCTCTTCAGAAGGCACAAGGCAAACCAGCTGGGTCTGCAAAGTACAAGAAAAATAATAATAATTAATAGTGGGTTCACTGTCAAAATTGTTTGTTTAGGTGTTATTTGATTTTCGTGATAACTTGTAATTTCGTCAGTCGCCAGCATCTTTTGTTACTTCACACAGGAAAAACACACAATACGAAATGTAATAATCGATTTTGTCCTCAATCTCACGCCATAACAGAAAAAGCTTTTGAACATCTGTAAACTCCGAGCGCGTTTTCAAGTTCAAGGATTGTAAATTACAATTTTATGAAAAACGAAGGTTGTTCTGTTATTTCAGTGTGAATCCTTGCATACCTGCCAGTGCCAGTCGCTGATGCCACATGTTGAAATTAAAACGAAAAAAAAAAAAACTCTTTTAAGATTATCATTGGCTTCTTTTTCACCCCACCTCTATTCTTAGCAACAAAGGTTGCTATTTCATTTGTTTACTGCTCGCCAAAAACTATCAAATGCACTCAAAAGCCTAAAATCAAAAAAAAATTTACAGGAATCGACCAATAGAGCAAGCAAGTGTGCAAGCGAGTGCCATTCTCCACATCGTATCTACAACTCACTCTTGCGCATGCACGTAATTCACGAGTTAAAAATGGTTCCATTTGATATTTCCATGGAGTTGAACAATTTTAACTTTAAATTTGGTGCTGTATAATGTGTGATAAGGTGAGAGTAGAACACTGAGTATAAATAAACACAAGTTCTAAAGTAATACATAGGGGAATAAAAACCTGATAAATAATGCACCTTGTCAACACTTGTTATTTTGCAGGGTAATCTTCCAACAGTCACAAAGATCTGTTCTCTTAGTTTGTCTTGCAAATTTTTACCCTAGTGAAAAGAGTGATACATTGTAAGAGTGATATAGCATAACTAATTAAGTGTCAACAAAAGCTTTCTCATTGAGGTCTATTCCTACCATTTATAAATATACACATCGATTTTGTACAGCATAAAGTTCTACAGGTTGAAAGCAGAATTTAAAAGCACAGAAAGAATCATTATCTTTTACCAAGACCTCACAGGTGAAAAGGTTATTTTGTGGAGTTTAAAATCAGAGAACACTATGTAAATGAGGTTTTATAAATTGCCAACACTCAACTCTTAGTATGAGAATCCTATGGATGCAGTATCTTCTCTGATAATTTTTATCTCATGTACCATCAGTGGCAAAGGGGTTTAACAACTGTCTCATACAGCTCTCTAATCACAAATCTTTGGCTATTCACCCTTCTCCAAGCTAAAATACTTATATACTGACAATTAGAATGTCAGAAATAAATGACAAGTTACAAGAACTGCAAATATATGATTTCATGGTTCAGATGCATCTATAACAACAAATTGTAACTTGTAAACTTGTAAATGTTACTTATTGGCAGTGAAAGCATAATATACAGAGCTTACTGAAATTTCATACAATTTTAAATCAACTTTAATGAATGACTAAGAAGACTATCACAGTCATTATATTGCTGAATAGCACTAAAGAATCATAACCATATGTTGAGAGTCTGTAGATACATAATCACATTTTTGCAAGGGTAATTTGTTATTATCAACTGAGTTGATAGGGTAAATTGGCCACTGTAACAGGTTTCAAAGCTGACCTTTTAGAGCATTAACCCTTTGTCAGAGTGAATGATGAAGGGCTAACACTCAAAATGTCTGATTTGAAACTCTTTCCAATACCCACTTTATGTTATCAACTCAGTTGATAATACAAAATTACCCTGTTATACTCTCCCACTGAAGCAGCACCACTGACAGTTTCTTTAGAAACTTACCCCTTTTATATATTTTTATGAACTGTGTTTGTAACTCGTACCTCAAGTATAAGGTTTTCTGTCTTCAGTACATGGAGATCATCTTTAAAACGCTTAAAAAACAGATCTGGAATCATTGTTAAACTTGTGTGGTTTGAGCGCAAAGGTATACCAGCGTCCATTAAAAACTGAACCTGCACTTTTGACACATTTCCACCAAAATTTGGTACTTTTGGACTTTGACAAGTGATAAGTGTGCTTCTTATAGATTCACAATCCTATAAATAATGAAATTTAGCACATAAGAGATTTTATTAAGATTTCCTCAAATGTCCTGCTTGAACACTGATGTTTCTTACTTTAAGGAGAAATGGGCCAACCAACAGTGATTGGTGGAACAAGTTGAAGTCAAGATAACAATCTATGCAGGTCAGCCTCCTTAAAAACACATTGACATGTACTAATGCCTTGAAATTGCACATTAAGTCTAGCTGTAAAAAAGTTGAAAAAGGTGTGCCTAAGCCCTATCTTTGTGGGTCTGAGTTAAGTATAAAATAATACATTTGTATGAGACACCAACTGAAAATCAAGTTTAGAAGCTTTTACCTGAATCAATTTAGTAGTTCCATTGGGTGAAAAATATGTGACATACATTCTTGGTTTCTGAATGGTGTCCAAATTGGTGCCAGTGATACGTAACATCAGACCTCCACTATAAGTAGAAAAGATTTGGAATTCAGCACTTCTTGAAAGATATGCTTGAATTGCATGCTTTGGGTTTGGTCTTGAAGATCAAAGAAAAAGGAGAAGACATGGCCCAACAATGCATGATACTGTGGCCAACATATGAAGTAAATTTTACCACAGAAATGATGTAAGTATGAACTGAGTATACTCAAAAGTGGTTTTATTCAAAAAGTAAGTAATAGGTGATCTTTCTCTGCCACATGAAAACTTACCCAAAAAAAACTTCATCTGGCTCAATAGATGTAACTGTAGGATCAGGAGTAAATACAAATATTCCCCTCGGACCGGTTGGAGTAAAACCATCAAATGACACTGTGACACCTGTACTTGCATTTACTGCACTTCTTTTTCTTCGACTAAATGTACTGCTAACTGTACATGATACGCTGTCATTGGTCACCCTATTGACATGGACCATTTCAGTCAAAGTTAATTTAATTAAAACTTTTTAAATACACTATCATAAAATTATGTCTCTGTTTACAACTACTTTGGTAAAATTGTAAGTTTTTCCATTTTATAAGGCACACACTTATGCTTAAAATTAAATCCTAATTCATTAGGTATTCAAATTAATGACATTAAACCCCAAAGTCACACACAGTAAGGTTGGGAGGCTTGTACTTTAAATATCTAAAAATAAAGTATTCAATTCTGTGCAAACAAAAAACTTGAAAAACTGAACAATTGTTCTTACAATGTTCCTAAAAGTGAATGGAAGAAACTTACTTATCTCTGTCAACAACACACTTTCGGCCAGCAACTGTAGCTGTAATGTGTCTGCCAGTATTCATTTTCAGACCAGTGATTTTTACAGTCGTGCCTCCAGATCTGGGACCCTTCTTGGGATTAAAATCCATTGGCTCTGGGATCTACAGGTGAATGGAAACATTTCTTATACATGAAAAAGCAATAAAGAATAGCCCATACATGTAAAGCAGTACAAAAGTAAGAACATGCAACTAAGCATGTATGTAAAAACATGCAACTAAACATAAACATCTATATTGACAAAATCGGACACTTATTTCAGGGATTTCTAGTCACCAATGCCAGCTCTTAACCCAGCTACAAATTTTTCATAGGTTTCTACAATAAGGAGAGATAACTTGTCGACAAGGCAAGATTGTGTGCACTTAACTTAATAGACATTTGTGTTCCAAGTTTGTTTCGAAAATTGAAAGCAGTGCATTGACTGTGTTCCATTTTGTTGAAAAGCAGGCAGGAAGTGGCTAGAGCACAAAAGAAAAACCAGTATTTTCTTCCAACATACCTGATAGGAAAAAAGCTGCTTTGATTCTCCTTTGATTTTACTGACTGACACAGAAACTGGACCACTCAAAGGTCCAATAGTATTTGAAGTGTTACAGAAAATACTGCAAAAAGAAAATAAGCATAAAGCATTCAAGCAAAGTCAACATTATTTCTTTTAATCAAAACAAATATTGAATAATGCCAGGTGTTATGAGGCATGTTGAGTGTCCAAAAGACTACAAGGCACATGATAGTTTCAGAAACAAAAGATTTGTTTAGTTTGAATAGACATTTCAGTTATTTACCTTTTGGAGGGTTGATATTTAGTTTCATCAGGATAACATTTAATGTTTGCCACCCGAACAAAGTCTTTTATGTCATTAAACGTTTTTCCCAGGTCAGATCCATGAATTTCAATCTCTGTTCCCCCAGTCACTGGACCAGTTAATGGCCATACCTAAAAACATGTTACAAAAAGTACAGCAGAACCCATTACAGCATTTCTCTATGAAATCAAAGAAAAGGTCCCCATGAAATGGTGATAAGAAAGAAAAACAAAATATGACAGAAAGATTTTGCTTCTGCTCATAATAATTATTTTTTACCCAATTACATTGCTTCCTACTAAACAAAGAAACCCCAAAAAATATTCCACACGAAATTTATGGAATTCAACAAAAGATACAAGATAAAAGAAAAATCACATTGATTCAGATGGTAGAAGTTAAGATAAAATTATATTAAATGTTATACCTTGGATATTTTGGGTCTTGTAAGGCACAGTGATGTAGGTGGAATCCATGCTCCTGTATCTCCACAAGCTTTTTGTACAACACACTTTGGGACACCAAAGTTGCACCACCCACATTGAAAATTTTTATCATTTTCCACGTGACAGCTGCTACAGTCTTTTATGGATACCCAACACTTGTACAGATACACTAAATAGAAAATATAGATATACTTTATAATTATGTTCAGCAATTGATCTAACTGTCAAAATCTTTTAAGTGCTTAACATAATTTGCGCCAAAGGTAAACAAAACTTTGAAGTTGCATATTTAGTAGAGAGAATTAGAAGCGGTACATGCAAGTTCTTTGCTGAATACAAATCAATTAAAACAAGAACACTTTTTGAGGTGGTCCCCATCTACACTTTTTTTGGTATTGATCAGTCCTGGGCTTAAATTCTCTCCTTTTAGCACACACTTAGTTTCCATCTTGTTTGCATTTAATGATGCATTTATTTCATAAAAAAGCAAATTAAGTAAGTCAAAGGATTATCTTACAAATGAACAACTTTTTAAACTTTTACTCAGCTTCAAGAAACAGGTTTCACAATACACACTTTTAAATTGGTTTCAAGAATTTAAACAAGGAAACAAACAAATAACTTTCAGCTTTCTTAGTTCAATTGAAGTGTTTATCCAAATTTACAGTTTCCTTTGAGAAACCTATCACATATAGCTCCCAAAGACAAAATTCAAAAGCTATCCTAATTTCAAACATTACACATTGATTATTGTCAGAATGGTTAGAGCATGGTGTGATACAGAATCAAAAGCAGCCAATGTACAGAAATAGTAGAATAGCAACCTTTCACCAAAATACATGAGAGAACAATTATCATGGTTCTCCATCACTTCCCCTTTATGAATTTGAAGTACTGTAGATAACTTTAAAAGTTAAGATGGTATTGCATTTTGCAAAATTAGCAGATGAACGTAACAAAGACTGTAAGTTTTAAAAACTTGAAAGTGAAGTACTTCCCACATTTTAAGTAACTTGAAATTTAATGGCAATTATTTTTAATTATTATATTGCAAGTACCATGTGCTGTACATGAATGTCATTTCAAATAATAACCCGGATCAATTAATACAATTATTCTTTTAAATGAACATTTAATTGTTTGTCTCACAGAGTATGAGTCAGGCTAATCAATCATGTACTAATTGCAACTTTTCAACTGCTATGCTGCTAGTCCTCATCACACAACAAGGAAAAAAATTTGTTTATTTGTAGCACCTTGGTTGTCATTGGTGGGTTTTTTGTGCACTGTCATTTGTGCATTTTGATCCTCATTCCTATTCTAAGTATTACATGTTATTCCCTCAAAAGTCTGCTCTGCTACTGATTGCCTGTTATGGTTTCTGATCATGGACATCCACACTTCAGGAATTTCAATTCCATTATCTTTATTGACATTATTAGGATGAAGTTCAGAGAACAATATCTAATACTCAGAAAAACACAGTCACTCAATAAATTATTCCTGGCATGCATTCTACACCAAATTAAAAAAATGCAGCTTTACAAGCAGTACCTTTGAAAGTATTTGGTGTGTGCAGGACATCTGAATTCCTGAAGATCACTTCCAATTTCACCTCCTGTTTCTTGTTGGATGCACTGTACTTATACTTAAAAATAAAAAATAGGTTTAACTGGGTGTCTTTTTATTTCTTCTGCTGATTCTTTAAAAAAAATGCTTGAAAGACTAAAAGAAATCAGAGTGGCTGCCAGCCTCAGAACTTGGAAAATGAATTATGCTGGGCTCAGATGTCAAGGCCACTGAACTGACTTGAGTTGGTATTTTCAAACTTTTGGATAAAAAAATTCATGTTGTATCCATAAGGTCCACTTGCCAAAGCACATTCTCAACAGTAACATGCTCTGCAAACTTTCAAAATGAAAAGCACTCCTCCTCTTGACTGAGGATTGATCCCTAATGGTAGCAAGTCTTTAATTTCCTTTCTTTCTCTTTTTTTATAACCTTCTTCTTCAAAGAAATGTTTTTTCTACCATTTCACCCAGAATTTACATGTACCAGTAATCATTTAAAAATTTATTGCTCAGCAATCAGCACTCAAGTAATTTAGGGTAAGAAACCAGTTATTGAAGTGCAATGAAGTGAAGGTTTTTTAATTCCAAAGTACAGTTCATAGATTTTGACTTTTAAGCAATTTGAATTTACTATTAGATACAATTTAACAACTTTAATAGCTATACATACTTCCATAGGAGAGCACACCAACTCTGTATCACTAATTCGTTTGGCATCTGATGTCTTCCTTGATCCATCAACTGTTACAACACATTTGTAAGAGGCACCATCCTATCCACAGAAATCAAAAAGAAAATTATCAGGCAAAGAGTGATATGGCCAGTCATTCCACAAACATCAGTTTTATAGTCACACTCAACCCACAGACGTTTAACACACCAGTATTTACAAACTTACATTCTGCAAACAATGGTTTATAATTCATAGTCACAGTCAACCCACAAACATTTATGAGTAAAGCCACAGTCAACCCACACAAAGCATTTTTATAGTCAAATTCAACCTGCAAATAGTTATTGAGTCAAAATGTCACCAGCCTACCCACAAACACCCCTGGATATATTGAAGTTAAAGTCAACCCACCAGCTAAAATATTTAACTATAACCACAATAAACCAACAAGTAGTTACAAAGTCACCATGAAAACAAACAGTTTATAAAAGATCACCAAAAGTCAAGTTTAAAGGCACACTTTTTTGGTGTTAACCTAATCTTGCATACTGTAAAATTATTCCTAGCATTGGTAACAGTACTGAATGGAGTCCAATTTGGCCTGATTATACAAATAATCTAAAAAATGAGATGACCATGAAGTGGGAGTTCAATTTATTAATCTCAAGTGTGATTGAAGACAGAATTGGATGACAAGAAATCCTGTTACCAAGACAATGGCAAAATAAAAGACAAACTAGCCTTCAGTTATACATTTTCATACCAAAAAAAAACCAACAGATAACACACTGAAATGTGTGAAAACAGCATGCACATATGACACACACTGTCTAATTAAATAATTACCATCCAAGTGCAAGCATGACGCCTGCACTGTCCTATTCTGCTAAAATCAGGCTGGTTATAACCAATAAAGTTTGATTATTTTGCTATAGTTTTGATTAAGCCACAAATAAGAGCTTTTAAGAACCACTCATATTTGAGCATTTGACATAATTAACTATTTACAATTTAAAGTGTTAAGTGTCATGCATACTACAACACCACCTTTTCCAGAGGAAGATTTTTAGCAGGCACAGTAAAGTTGGTATTGACTTGTGCAGGAACAAGAACTGGCTTGTCAGCTATTATTTGGGGGCAACCATTTGAATCAGCAACACGATCCTATAGACAGCACAACATGTTTGTAAATTGACAACGACAATTTACATGTAATTACAGCAAGCAGGTACAACCATTACACTATGTTGTTTGGTAATTCAATTGCACAATTCTCAATTTAAAGACTTTTTGTCAAAACATAACCGTAAGAGAACATTGATAGATGATGGAAGCCAACTAAATTACTGAACAGTTGCCACTACTCTCCCAACCAAGGCTGTCTCTCTCCTCTTTCCTCCATATCCCCTATTTTTGTCGAAGAGGAATGGGTAACTACAAAGAAAAGTATAATTGTAGCACCAACACTACAAATTTTCCCAAAAATTTATTTGAGGAACAGTACCGAGACCATGTAAGACATGTTCCTTGCTGTGGTCAGGTTAATACACTGTGAAGTATTGACAGATACCTGTAGAGGCATTATAAATTCCCCAGGACAGTCCACATTCCCATTGCTGGTGCATATCCCACGATATGTGCACCATTTGCATGTGTAATTTCCTTCTGCACAATTTATGCACCTAAATCAGATGAAATTGTAGTTAAATAACAACATTTTCATGTGCATAATGTACACAAGAGAAGCCAAAATTTTATTCGGTGTATGGAATGCACAAGCAAATAAGGTAAAAATTGTTGAGATAATAACCCCAGCATTCAGGCAACACAATCTGTCAATATTATTATAATATTGCCCATTATAAATCCATTTGGCACTGATTCCTCCAGATGGATGTGAAATTTATTACTTCTAGGATTAAATATATTTTATGAACATGTACCAACTGAAAGACTACTAGTCTAACTAATAACATAAGGACACTCAGTAGCTTACTTAATCGCTTGAATGAAGCCAAAGAAAAAATTCATGTAGTGGCAATCATGCTGGCACATACAATTTTATAAAAATTTATTCATAAGATGGAAGTTAGCACACAGGGAGATCATGCATGTCAAAGGCAAAACAGTGCACTCACCAGCAGTTGCACAAACCAGTTAAAATATTCATAACACTTGAAGAGGAGAAAACTTAAAAATGAACTCACCAAATAATCCTTAAATCCTTAGATAGACCCAACCCGCAAATGTGCAGAAACTCCTTGTACAAAATTTCTGCAGCTACTACAGTATATATTTTCATTTCAGAGTACAAACAACTAAAAGCACCAACAGTTCAATTTCTTGCTGTAAAGTTCTTGGCCAAAGAAGTGAAATCAACCTCTGTAGATGCATGTAAGGCTGTGAGTCTAGTGTCAATACTGAGTAGCACTTTGAAAAATACACCGTGTATTACTACCACTTCCATTTTTTTCCTTATTACCTTATTACACAACATAAATGCTGGCATGTGCATTTTTTATTGTTTTATGTCTCATATTGTTGATGAAATCAATATGGAAAAACATATTACCTTGTTATGCATAATAAGCTAGAACATGAAAAAGAATGATCCTGAAATAGGCAGTATATGTTGGAAAACATACTCACCCCTTAATTGCAGGACAGCTGTAAAACGCTAGCTTTTCAACAAGGAATATCAGCTGGGACTCAGTGGAGAAGAGGGCAAGATCTACGAATACATCACCTTGTAGTAAAGAACAATATGTTGTTTACTGCCAAATCTACACAGAATTGCGTAGGAATAGATTAAACAATTAGCTTACACAAATCTTCCTCAGTCGAGAGTACTAAGAGTAAAGGGAATATTTACTAAGAGTAAAGGGAATATTTGTTTCCACCAAGCAAACAAGTCAATTATTTTTAAAAATATTACATTCATAATTACTAACTCTGTCACTAAATGTTTTTCCCTTGATTTGGCTGTAATTAGCTAGAGGAAAATACTGTTAAGCAAGCAGGATATACTTTTCCTTGGCTTGCTTTGAGCAGTTTAAAATTTACACTTATTATCTCCTTTCTCCTATGAGTGAAGACAGAAAAGTTAAAACAACAGACTTAAAAATGTATGTCATTGACATGTTTGAGCAATAATATAGATTAAAATTGGAGGAACTCTGACCAATTGTTTGGTTTAAAAATGGGATTCTCTTAAGAATTGGTTGGCTCAGGTTGGAGTAGTGAGTTCTTTTGCCATGAATCAATTATTATAAAGCGTATAATAAATATATACCGTTATCACTTGTAATGCTTGGCAAATCTTTCTCAGGTGGTGTTCGACATTTCAGTTCATTTCCTGGGCCCACAGTTGTTGTGCTATGTTCTTTACCGTGTACAAAACACTTCAATCCTGCTAATGATGGTACATTGGATACCCTTATGGTCAGCTGATTAAGCAAATAACAAGACATTTCAATTTTATTCACATTTATCATTGGATGAATGATGGTTTGCAGAAATTATGGCAAGTAAGCACAATTGATAATTTTGAGAAGTTTTGAAGTTGATTACATGTCTAAATCACTGTTCAATGCGAAGCATGTGACCAGGCATCCCAGACAATGATGATTGTAAGTGTGGATTATACAAAAATGTGGTTATTTTCTTTCCTCTTCCTGAGAAACTCAATAAAAGTGCTATTCAGAAGTCCAGGGAATATGGGATGGCTCTTCAGCCAAGAATACAGGCAAGACCTTTCATTTCATCATTAGGTCATAAAATAAGATTGAAGGCTTGAATAAGTGCCTAGTGAAAAGCTCTATGAAGAAAGTGTCATGAGTTGAGTTGTGCTATTCTTGTCCATGTTAACTGAGTTAGATGCATATACATTTACAGCAGCCAAACAAATGTCTGTCTTAGTTTTAAATGTTGAACTACATTGTACACATGAGACAAAGAAACTTTACAAATGTTCTCATTCATGAATGAAAATTAATCCAATACTACATGTTTTAAAAAGTAATCTTTGTCTGAATCATAACTTGAAAAAACATTGTGAATTAAAAATCACCAAACATTGATACAGCACCCTCTTATAATAATTATAAAAGAACTGTGAAAGTTGTTTCACACACTTCAATACTTGGACCATAGGGAACTTGTTTAGGGCTGATAGAAGCAAATGCTGGACAGTTAGATGAGTTCGTCACATATCGCAATGGATGTGCATCAGAGCTAGGGCAGCTAGTCTTCTGAGAACATCTTCAAAAGAACAACAGATGACAAGTTTTTGTGAAAACAGGGAACTCATCAAATTTTCCAATTTTCAAATTCATATTTTCATTGCAATATCCTATACAAGGATAAGTGTACCATCCATCCCCAATATAGATTCTTATCAGTTTCCTATTTACAACACAGGCAGCACATCTGTAACCCCTATGCCCTTCCAAACTTGCAGTGCAACTAATTAATGCAAGTTTATGAACTGCAGGTCAAAAAGTATGTCTATTTAAGAGAGAAACCAAAAAGAAACATTGAAAATTGCAGTAATAACACAAGTTTTCAACCTCATTCTAGATACATGCAAACAATACAAGTTTTCAACCTCCCTCAAGATACATGCAAATTACCTCTTATAAAATGTACACCAACCACAGAATGGGTTATTTGGTTTTGTGCACTTATCACAAGATTTTGAAGCACCGCAGTCTTCAACAGGTAATTGTGTCACCTTCAGTAAAATAAAATTTAATTCACAGAATCAATATCATTACCGGCCTTGTAAGAGGTACTTCAAGTACTTGATCAATTATGTGCTGCATCATTTTGAACAAGAAAAGTAAGGATGTTTTTGGAAAAATTTTACAAATTACATATGAAGCAAAGTCAGACATGTGGATCAGGCTTATTGGATGGCTACAAATTAAATATGAAGCAGAAAACAGTGTTCACCATTTCTAAACACCCACTCTAATTCTTTAAAAATATGTACATAAAAGTTTCACAAGATTTCTGAAAATAATATTTGACATCTTTTATATTACACACTGATTTCTATAAGGGACATTTGCATCCATGGTTACAAAATGCAGACAAACACATAGTATTTAGCAACACTGTACCTTGTGTTTAGTAAGGATGTACAAGTGTTGCTGGTCACTGGTTACTATGATCTGACGCACTTCATCAGAGCTGATTTTCAACTCACTGTAAGGTTCCACTTCCTGTTGTCCATCTTCCACAGACAACTTTTGAGTAAATGTAACAAAGCAATATCAAATTTTTCATTCTTAAGCTCAGCAGTGTCTTCTAAATTCCATAACAACAATTATATCTATAACAGTTACTGTTTGTAAAGGAAGCCTTCACTTGTGGAACAAGTTTCCATTCAATTGATGAAAATTTGTCAAATTGACTGATCAGAAAATTGAGAAACAAGAACCACAAAGTATAAAAAATGGAAAAAAACACAAGAAATACTGGGCATATCACTGTAAGGTGCAATAGGGTTGTGATAGTGTAGTCTGGTTGTCTAGGTGAGTGTATTCCTAAAATGGACTGTTGTGGATAGTGGTGACTGATGACAGAATAGTTGTTGTCTGTCAAATGTTTAAAGTCTGGTTTGTATAAAATGACTTGCCATTTTTACCATAAGACTCAAGCAGAGTGACCATTGTGATTGATCATTTTTGATCAGTTGTTAATGTCACTGTCATGAACAAGTCCTTTGTATTATGCCAGCACAATTTGACTATTTTAGTCAGTAGTAGCAATGAGTGTCAACAGCCTCATCTTCTTGAGTGTCAGTAGGTTACTGTTGAGTTTGGGTTGAAGTGCAGGAGTCAGGTCACCCTTAAATTCTGCATAGGTTTGTTTGTTGTTGACTAGTGCATTCATTTTGTTGTGATAGTCAGTTCTGTCCATGCCAACAGTAACTAATCCTTTGTTGGCTGGTAGTATAGCCATGTCCTTGTTGTTTTTGGTCATTACAGTGCATTTTGTTTGTCTATAAGCAAGTTGCTGCCATGCAGTGAACATGATTGAATAGTGGAAGCAATTCTTCTTCTGATGATGAATAAGTGGCTCTCCTTGAATAAGTCCTCATGATAAACTGCCCCTCCCCCTCCACCTTAACATGGCAATTATTGTAAAATCCTTGAAGAATTTCTCTATCAAATGCAGAGACAGCTTTGCTGTTGCTTTTTAAATCCACCTTATTAAGAAGCTTGTTTTCTACAGTGTAATTTATTATTGACAATAAACTTCATTACCTTAAGAAGCTGACCACCATGGGTTCCCACAAAAATAACTGTATGATTGTAATATGGCATTGCAGCAACAGCAGTTAGCATTCCTTTCTCATATTGCATCACAGGTCTTTTAGTCAAAGGAGTTTTTCCACGAAATGGATGATAGCCAAATGAAATGCTAGTTGGACAGAAATTCTCGCTTATTCTTGGATTTGATTTCTATCAAAAATTAGAATAAAAACAATTTCAAACAGAGGTTCATACTGGTCTCTTGATCTTGAATTTTTGTGAATACAGTTAAATCTAGTGTTATTGATTCACTTAACATGTGTTCAGGACAAATGAAAAAACAAAATGAGTAAGACTTGGTTCACCTCTAGAGCAAGAAAGTTTTACAATTGAGCAAAAAGCATGACAGGGCTTTGAAGCATTACAATAACTGTTACTCACCTTATGTATTATGTAATATGAAATTAGAATACCCATTTACCTTATCTACAACAAAGATTTATAACCCATTAAGGAAAAGGACAAATTCATGTGTTCCAGTGTAGGGGGATCAGTTGATTTCCCCTTCTTAGTCTCTGTCACACACTAAAAAATAACATGACTCATGAAGAATTCCTTCATCTGGAATATGTGTAAATTTCTATAACCTACTTTCTAATTGATAAATTATGGCACCCATTATTTACCTCATCGTCACATTTTCTAACTTTACCACTGGCCCATGGAAGACCAATCTCTTCATCTTTAGCATTATTCACACAGTTCTGTAGGTTAGACACCAGAGTTGCCTTGATTTCTTTTACTGAATATGTACAGACTGCAGAGTATTGTGAAGGTCCACTCCAACCTTTGTCAACCTTGAAAAAAGTAACAACTAGCACATCTGTAGATGCATCAACTGCAAGGCCATCACCAGCTTTTGTAAGATAAGCTGACTGTGCTATGTTGAAGGATGTTCCATTTGACCCTTTGCAGTCAAGTGGCAATTCCATGTATGATGAATAGACTTCATCCTCTTGGCAGAGGCGAACTATAAATGTCTTGAATTTTGATTGATTGGTTGAACATCCACCTTTACAGTCCTTTGTAAATGATTCAACAGTCTGCTGCACAGACACAAAGTAATTGAAAATACCTGCTGAAAATGCATAAATAAATTTTGCATGATATACTACATTTTCTCTGTACTGAAGATAGCTATTAGCTGCGATAGCATCCTTAGCAGGATCAAAGAGGCGATTCAAATCATCAATTATACGGGTTGATACAGCTGGGGTAATATACTGCAAATCTGAAGATGTAAAGTATTCCTTGTCCCAAGAAGTTGCAACATAAAGTGCACGTGTTCCTGAACGTTTCCCAGCTGGTGTTATCAATGCTGCTGCTTGTAAGGGTGTTCTAGACACCACATAAATTGTCCTATTTGTTTGTAATTTTAATGAGTCTAAACTTCGTATCTGACAAACTCCATGATTGAAGCTACCACAGACTATTAGATGTCTTTTACTACTGTCTATCAGCAGTAGTTTGTTTATATTTGTTGTAACCTTTCCAGCACAAGTTTGGCCAAAGTCATGATAACAATCTACAAAGTCCAGATTGGGCCCAGTCACTTGTCTTTTGAGTGCTACTAAATTTTCTGATGCTTTCAACAGCACATTATCGCCTCCAATGAAGATATTTTTTGTGACATTGTCAAAAGCCATGTTATTAAGCACTTCAGATACTGGTAAATCTTTCCTGTTGAGATTTGCCACTGCATACTTAGTGGCAATAAAAAGGAGAACTGAAATGTGAAAAATCCATATGCTGTATTTTACCATGGCCATTGGAAACAAATGTTTGGGCCAGTATCTAAAAAGAGAGAAGAATGGGATTAACTGTTGACCTGGACATGACCTACATTCTGTAACTTTCCTCAAAAGCAGAAAAATGTTGACCACCTGAACTAGATTCTACAAGGCAAAACAAACATAACCAGACTAACAAAAACTGAGTTAAACACTTCTTTTTACAGGATGTGTGTAACATTTCCCAAGATATAAACCCCTTTTTGAATCATTCATATATTAGATACAGTGTGACTCATAATGGAATGTTTCAGTTAACAAAACAGTTGTCCATTTAATGTGGTCACCAGTCTGCATGTACCTTACACAGAGTAAAAAAAGAAACAATTTCTACAGCTTCAATAATTCAAATAACTAATTAAAATTTTAATACAAGTAAATCCATCCAGATTATCAATTTCCTCCAGATGCTTTTCTACACTCAGTAAGTGATCTTTTTTTTTTCTGCTTTGTTTTTCAAAAATTGAATAGTGATGCTTGTAGTTGTAATTCCCAACTTATTGGCTCCCATTTGAATCTCTTGTCGTGTGCATCACAATATTATCATGGAATTGATTGTAAGTAATCTGAACTAATTTCATCATTTATCGTGGAACTGTTTAATTTCCATGATCCATTTTTGAATGCTTGATTTTGATATTTAGTAAAAAAATACTGGTGAACATTGGTGAACATCAAACAGAAGCTTAAACATTGGTGAACATCACCAATGACTATAACAGCTTAAGACGCGAACGAGTTATCTTGTTTGCGTCTGAAGCTGTTAGAGTCATTGGTGATGTTTACTTCGCTTTATTCGCCTTGAGATCCTTATAAACTTTGTTGCAAATAAAAAGGATTGCTTTTTACTAAAGATCTTGTCTAGAAAGCCAAGTTTTCTTTAAAAAATTTGAGCAATTGACATGATGAGTCTTTACGGTATTGTTGTTGCACAATCACTTGTTCGCGTCTGAAGCACATATAGTCATTGCCGATGCTTACTTTGCTTTATTTGCCTTAAGATCCTTATAAACTTTGTTGCAAATAAATAGAATTCCTTTTTATTAAAGATCATGTCTAGAAAGCCAAGTTTTCTTTAAAAAATCTGAGTGATTGACATAAAGAGTCTTTACAGTGTTGTTGTCGCACAATAACTCGTTTGCGTCTTAAGCTGTTATAGTCATTGGTGATGTTCACCAATGTTCACCAATGTTTAAGCTTCTGTTTGATGTTTACCAATGTTCACCATTGTTTTTTTTACTAAATATCGTTTACTTTTCTGTATGTTTAACTTCTAATAAGTTGTACTGGACTGAGGACCAACTTGGCGACGTCTCTACTTGATTTTATATGTTGGCGAGTTGGCGTCGGCGAGTTGACCATAATTCGATTTTAATTGCCTTATTCTTTAACAACTGCACTCATTACAAATTGTAAAAGTGGCTTTTCTACTAGGAAAAATCCAGTCTTGATGTAAGTCTCAGAGTTCTGGATTCATATGCATAGAATTTTTTTTGGCTTTCTGTTTCTCATAAAGTTCATTAGATCCCATTCACTTATTAGCAACTTGATTTGCTTGCAATACTTTGGCAACCTCCATTGAATGCTACCTTTCTCATGTCTTGATTCAAGACCTACAATCAATTCCCCACCCACAACAAAGTTGCTACCACTCACTTTTGAAAGTCAAGGTGGTACTTAAATTTTGTATACATCATTGTTGAAATTGTTGAGGTTGGAGAATGTATAGAGGATATTGGGAGGCTGCTTAAGATGATTCCTTAGTTTAGCACCATGCATTCTGTATTGCACCTGAAAATCACATAATCTGGGGAATGAGTGTTCACAAATTCTGAGAACATGGTATTGTTTTTCAATCCATGGACCAAGCAAAGAGCTACAATGGTCTTCAGCTGTTGAACAAGCACGATGACCTATAGTTTTCATTGTAACATTTTGGTATACAATTTATCCCCTTTAAATTGAGGAGATAAACTAAAAAATTCTTTAAATGAAAAAAATAATAAAGCAAGAAGTGTTCAAGAAGCCCTTTACTCAAGGATGCAAATTATGACATGGAAAGAAACAACTTGAGGAAGGTTTTGAGACAATGTTGTTTGAATTTGTGTGATTTTCCCACAAATTATATCAAATTGTTCCATACACAGGAGACTTTCTACCTATCAAGTTTTTTCCAATTGTTACTTTAAAAACCCTTGCCTGAAATGATGTGCAAGATTAGTGCCAGTAATGGCATAAATGGGGTAAGTTTGGCCCATTGTATCTCTTGAACAAGCACAGTGACCTATCTCTTTTATTTTATTTTTAGAAACAGACATTGATAAGGAACATTTAAGGAAGGTTTAAAAAAATTGTTTGATAACTTTATATTTCTGAGGAATCACCTGAATGGTCAAGAGTTACAGATAAGTTCTCCATTGTGTCCTAATATAAGATACTTTCTACCTATCAAGTTCTTTCAATCATTACTTTAGATACTCTTGCTTCCAGCTGCAGCAAAATATATTGTGAACTGTTGAAATGGCGTGAGAGATTGGTGCTATTAAAGGCGTAAATGGGGTAAGTTTGGCCTTTTGTATCCCTTGAACAAGTACAAGCACCTAAGTGACCTATCCTTTTGGATGCAGTTAAATGCAATTTAACAGAGTTAACAACAAAGAGCATCAGTGTTTTCTAGTCAGTGGTTTTCGCAAATGCACATGCACAGGAATTCTCATGAGCTTTGCATTGGAGGCATTCTTGTGTGTACTTTGAGCATGTTCTTTTAGCATTGCAAGGAGTGGCAGCTCTTTGTCCAGGCAGTTTCTAGTCTTGCTTGTTTGTTTTTTATCTCAAAAGGCTTAAGAGTTATTAAATCAGTTGTTTGTTTTCCGTGGCAGTCAACTACCTTCATTCATATGGATCAGCTTTCGGGGCCTTTTTAACAAATAACAGTGCAGCCGCTGTGCTGGAATCATTAGAACTACTTTCTTCCATCTTGTCCTCTGCTGATTCTCCTCCTTCCTCAACAGAGACCCCCATTGCCTTGGGGTTTCATGTGAGGCAGCTCTTCGTCCAGGCAATTTTTCCCCACCCATTCCCTCCCTCCTTCCACTGTCTACTCAGTGTGACAGGTGCCTGTTCCCCTATCCTGTGTAGGTGCTCATGGCTGGGGCTGGCTGCCACTAGTGAATTCAGAATTCAGACACCCAACCTCCAATTAGCGATGCAGTTGTTAATTGTATTTTTGAAACAGACTTTGATTGGGAACATTTAAGGAAGGTTTAAAAAAATTGTTTCATAACTTTATATTTCTGAGGAATCACCTTATTGGTCAAGAGTAATGGTCAGTTAAGTTCTGCTATGTGTGTCCTAATATAAGCTTTCTATTGATACATTAATACTTGTGGAGTTTGTAAGAGTAAGGTAAGTGCTATTTGAAAAGTAAATTTTTCCTCTGTATTCACTTTTCAAATAGATTCATCTCTTTGTTACATTTTTAGAGAAGATAAAATTAGCATTTTTGGTTTTTTGCATACACGAATAAAATAAAATAACTAAAATATGTAAAACACAAACTCCACCAAGGAGTAAAAGGTTGTTTGGATCACATCTGGATGCTACTCAGTGCAAAAAACATTCCAATCCTCTTTAAATGCTTGATGTAGTTTCAGATCATTCTTAGACTCACAGCAGTAGAGACAAAGTTGATTCAAACTCAACAGTTTGAAAATAACAGAAAAAATATTTGAGCAGATATGATACATAATGCAATACAGGTGCTGCTCACGAGGCTGTCTCTTTAAGTAATCAAACTGTGCGATGCATGTGTTGCTTATCACAAGAGGAGGATCAGATTACAAATACATTGTACACAGACATCTGCGATTGTGTTTGAAGCTCCACCATTAGAACAAAAAAAGAAGTTTCCTGTTTGCCATCAGCACCTCTTGAGGAAAAAATAAGGTCACACGACAAAGCGCTGAGGCTATCATAGCGATAAGCAGCAGGTGTAGGCAATGATCAATAACCACAACCTTCGCAAAGCGTTTTTCTCGACCTTCACACTTACCACACATTCTACATAATACCAGCGATCAACCTCTTTCGCAAGGAGTTAAGTTTCAATTGTTAATATCATAAAAACTCGATCTGCTTCAAATGACCAAAGAAACCAAGCTTTGACTTTCTTGACCAAGAGTTTTTTCAACAAACAGTTACAAAATGAAACCTTACAATTACAACGACGCTAAGGTATAATATGTACAGGGACCAATCGATACGAATTAAGTTTAGCATGGACCTAACATTCTCTGTAACAGTTCCACTTTCAGGCAAACCCGGAATTGCTGGAATATTCAATGGAAAATCTTAGACGGACATACTTCAAGTAGCAAAAGGTCGGTGTGATTCGTAGGACTTTAAGATTGGTTATTGTGTAGTAAGCTTACCTGAATCACAAATACAGATCGAATCCTTTTCTTGTATACGTCTAAAGCCAAGGACGTGAAAGAGAAAATTTCGTGCTTCCTAGAAAACGGACAACCCGGCAAACACAGATTTTCTGTTTGTGGAATTTTGAAAATATTTAAGAGGAGTGAGACAAGCGAGCCTTGCCCAAATTAATAACGCCCGCGAACATCTGTCTAAAACTGCGCATGTACTTCATGTAAAGCTTATTTTAAGAAGCGTCGGCCTCGTCCCAGTCTCTCCTTGATAATTTACTTTTCGTCAATGCGTCCCACGTTACACATATTGGACAACTGTTGTTTCTCTAATAAAAATTAATATTTTATTGCCAGACTTGCCACTACACTTTAGAAGAGGCCATTCACTTTACGAATCTTCTTCTATACAAGATTTTTACTTATTATTCGCAAATTTACAGGAAGATATTGCGTTCCGTTTGAAAAAGACTTAATGAGGACTCTAAGCATGTCTGATTATCTCCACTCTGCCCCTGATTGTCTCATGATTTGTTGTCTGACCTATGTAAGTCATTTAAAGTTTTTCCCCCGAACTGCCATCCTTATGACCAGCTCCAAGCTTCTGAGCTATCAGGAAAACATGGCGGAATCTTGCATAATGAGTTAAACTAGCACATACGAAGACTCTACTCAAAAAATGGGGTTTCACAGAATTGTGAACCGTGAAATTTTTTTTCAATGTGTCACTCGTGAGTTCTGAAGAGGGTGTGAATATTATCATCTTGAACGATCCTCTTTTGGTCGTTCGCTGAAAGGACAATCTGGTTAAATGTTTGTGTTAACATTTTCAAATACCAACATTGTATCTTCTCGCAAAGAAAAGTCGCGGTGAGCTTTGAATTGTTCTTCCGTCAAAATTGTGTCTTTATAAAAGAGAAGTTATCTCTGCTTTCAAGCTCATTTTTGACGATGTTGAGCTGAGCATCAGAGAGGATGAAGATGTGGTATTTCACATTTCCTGAAACCGCTGCTTTCCTGTTAATTGCGAGCTGCACGCCTTCTTTCGTATCCCCCCTTTTCAATCCACTTCCATGAAGATTATTGTCTCTCGTACTCCTGAGATCGATTAAAAGACCGAATCTGTCTCCGGCATAAAAGTCTGTTGCATTCATTGGGCTATTTTCCTCATCAAATCTGCTGAAGACCTCTTCCCACGTATTTCTTGTGTTCATTCCTTAGCTGTGAACCTTATTCAGAATTCCACTCACAACCACATTCACGTCAGGATTGAATGTCTTCTCACTGACCTCCTCGGAATATTGATACTTTCATTGATGATCATGTTAGTCGCTTTCGTGAGATTGCCTTGAGATGAGTGACGTGCTTGTAGATGAATCTCTTTCAATTTGTGCAGGTAGATCACGCTTTATTGGCAGGTTCTTGACTGTGAATAACTTCATAATCAAGCTGGATGTTTCTAAATTCATATGCAAGCCGTGCCTTGTCAGATCCTATCACAACATTGCTGGCAGGTGCAAGGCTGAGTTTAAAAACAAGCTCATCAGAAAGAGGTCTTGGGAAGAAGACTCCATGATCCTTCAGAATTTTATGATCCAGTGGAATCATGTATTTGCTCTCATAAAAAATCATTGAGCTTATTCTCTTTGTCAACTCTGATTTCTTCTTATCTACAGCATTGCATCTGATCTTGAAAAGATTAACAGACTTAATGCCTTCTGTGAACACCCTTGCTCTATCATTCTCAGTCAAGAAGAGGTCCTCGTGTGGCTTGAAGAAATCGTAGCCGTTGGTGTCTTGCACGATTTCTCTTGCGAAGTTTATAGTCAACCTGTCAACAAGAGACCTTGCAACATTGTTCACGATATAAATGTTTGCGCGGTGATTAATTGTCAAGTCAAAGATAAGTGAAAAATATCCTGGCACAAGGTCAACTCCGTCATCAAGCTTTCGAACGGGAACATTAGGTGTCTCACGTGGAGATACCCTATTAGGTTTAAATGTCATTCTGTGAATTACGTGGTTAGCCTTGTGGGCGTTTGACGTGTTTTTTAGTTTAGTTTTTTTATACCGCCTTCCATTTTATTAACAGATATTTTATTGAAAATGGATGATTTTGAATATATTGATCCTCTATTAATGATGATGATTTTGAAGATGTTGATGATATCCTTTAGTGATAATGATGATGATGATGAAGATGATAGAAATAGAACAACACCTTTTCAACCTCATAATTATTCAACTCCAGGGCCATCAGGTGAAGAAATTCCAGTGACAACAATCAGCAGGGGACAAGAGAAAGGGTCAAAACATGTTGAAACATCTTTCATTGAAGGTAATACTACTAATTCGAGAGTCTCAACTTCAAATGAGATGGCATGGGACTCCCTTACCAAAATTTATACCGGGGAAAAAGCTTTGGAACTCGACCTTCCTTAAAGTAAAGGAGGAAGGTTGCTGGTAAAGGCGTTTGTTCAGAGCAAGAAGACATATCCCGTGTATAGTGAAGAAAGGGGTAAAAAAGAGCAAAGGTTGAATCCATCACTCCCAAACAACCCGACTTTAATTATGCCATGATTTGTCTCATCTAACCTTGGTGGTGTTTTCACCTGAACTTCAGTTGAAGTCTTGCTAATTGGTTTTGACGGATAAGAGATCAGTCGGTGGATCTTTGATGAGCCCTCATTCACGTGCCTTACTCCGACTGATTTCACCTCCAAACTCACTGATTTGTTGACTCCGAGCTTCATGTCAGAACTTGTCTTCTTCAGCCTGTCATTATGCCCAACCGTACTCTGAGCGTTAAGAACAAGATTTGAGGGCATGAGCCAAGTGCCTGGTAAGACTACAAGATCAAGCCTGACTTTTGCCTTATCGACCGCGAGCTGAAACCTCTCACCGGTATTTGAGATGTCTTGCTTTCTGAATGCATCCTCAACCAATACGACGAACTCATGTTAGGCTTCCTTAGTGCTTCCTAATGAACCTAAGATTCACGATCTCACATTGACTTGATAGCCAAGAATGCAGGAAATTAATGCCTCAGTCGACTGATTCAATGTCACCATCCCTGCTTGCGTCAGACCTTCTGATTTATCTGTCATAAAGACGTCTCAACCTCACCATTATCATTCTTTATGAAATAAATCAGATTGTCTTTGATGGCTTTTCCACCCTCATTGCTAAACTTGTTCTTACCAGAATAAGAGTTTGAAGTTTCTGACGTTCCAGCATTTGCCACATAAATGAAAACAGATCCGAGATTGTGATTATTACCTTATTTGAAGCGGAAGTCTGTACTGGATGAAACTCCAAGTTCTGTACATATTCGTTTGAAAGATGACGTGTCATAATAAATATTTTTCTGATTGAACGTTGGGTCACCTGGAAGGGCCGATTCACTCTGAATTTCACTCATCTCGAAGAGAATCCTTCTGACGGTGAAGTAGATGTGAAACATCAGTAACGACTTGATCTCTTCTGAAACCTTATCAAGATCTTTAGGAGAGATTCCACAGCCTCTCATTGCGCATCATACTGCAGAGTTGAGCTGTTGAGGCCAGTGGTTCATATTCGAACCCGGAAGCCATCTCTTCGATTCCACACCTGAAGAGTACTTAATTTTTGTTCTTGTTAATATTCCTCTAAATTTTGCATTAAGTTTTGGGATGAAAGACAAAGATCTTGATCTCTTCATTCAAGCAGCCGACAGCATTCTTGTTAATTGGAAATGCTGCCACCTAATTCTTTCCTCTTCGATTCAGCCTCAAATTCCAAGTACTTTCTTCATGTCAACATCCCAATATATTCTGTCTGATCTTGAGACACTCGACTGAACTCCATCTGATCGATCGAAGTAAACTTCAGCTGTTGCCTGTGTTTTATCATCAAAAGACACTTCTACACTGAACTTACTCAAGTCTGCATTTGGATATCGTGCTTTTAAGTCGTTCCAGGCTTTTGTCCTTGCTTTAGCTGCAATTTTATTCGCTTCACCTCATCTTAACCCCGCAAAAATTTTAATTTCTTTTATCTTCAAAAGGGTGTTTCGAGAGTTACTGCAAACTCAAATGATTACGCAGTTTGCCTGTAGAGAGCAGCAGCGAAAAATAACAACATTTTAGCCTGGTGAGCTGCCCGTTTTTCGACACCTGGCACAACTTAAGTCGCGCTGGAGAAATCTCTATATTCGACTCCCAGAACAAGCAACTGTAAGAAGAATTTCAGAAGGTAATTATTCACTCAAAAGCCTAGGCCAAGCTCTTTAAGATACATTAAAGAGTAGAGGAGTGCAGGTTGAGATGAATACTCCAAAAGGAGTTTTGGAAATCCATAATCCTCTACATAACCATATCCTTCTTGACAATGATCTGACTGATTTTCTCGGAATGAGACGATATTTCCAAACCATTAACTTGATCAAAAGGTTTCCTCATTGACCAACTACCTTGCTCACCGTGATCTTTTGGATAAGAATGAAAATGTATTCAATGGAGAGCCCTCAAATGTTCTTGGATGCTTCGAAATTATCGGGCAGCCCTTTGACAGGGTGACCTATTGTTTTGAAATACCAACCCAATGAAAAATATCACTGAGTAATTACATCTAAGCCGTGCGAATTCTCGTGACTGATGAGAATAGTGAGATCATTAATTTCATTGGCCTTCCAGTGAGATTTGAGCCAGAAAAAATGTCTGTTGACAATATTTTGCTAAGCCCTTCGAGCCAGGGGCCACAAAGCGGCCCAAGCGCATCTCTGCTGGACCGCTTGGCCCTTTATCCTTCTCTCCTGGTGGATGCAGAATGCTCTTTAAGCCAAGGACCGCTTGGACCCCTTTGATTGTCAGAAGGAACTTGAGAATGACATTACTCATTACCAGGTCGCAAAAAAATATAAGAGAGTGAGGCTGTCTGTCACATGACATTCTCAATCACTTCAGTCACGAGAGGTCTTTTATCAACAGGTAGTTTTACAGGTGCACTGAGGGGAGTCGGAATTGTTGTCACTGTGCCTCTTGCAGGTATTCCCGATCTTCTTAGCTTCATGTCTGCCGCATCGACTGTCGCTAGCAAAGAAAAAGACGAAAACCGTCTCTCTCCTTTAGGCGAAGCATCGTTCAATCAACAGACTCGTCACAAAGGCTTTACAAGACGCTTCGATATCACATACTGAATTCGCTTTAATA